GGAAAGTGGGCCCAGAGAGAAGCAGAAAAGGCGACTTTGAAAGTGATAGATTTGGCTCTCAAAGGACATACTATCACGCGCAATTACCGGCGATATGATTGTATCCCCGAAATTTTATGGTTGCTTTTTTGCAATAAAACACACGTTTTTTTGCGGAATCAGGTTAATGCGGTATGCATAGTTAGCACAAATACGCAATAAAAAGTCGCATTGCAAAGGTACATTTAAATGTTGACAGTAAAAATAACTCATTTGATTCACTGGATGGTGCCCTCTGCTTCCTACTCACTCACTGAACAATGACAACTTCGATTAATTAAAATCATTCTTTCTTAAATGAATCAATGAGCCCGATTCAAAATGTCATCTGAGATTGAACTCACATTCTGCAAACCCACACGTTTTGACTAGTTGTGCTTTGTGAACGTGGCCTGAGACTAGGTTTTAAAAAATACCCAAAAAACCGGAGAGCGATTACCATGGACGATTGAAGATGGGCTTGGTAGTGCACGCATTGTGGCATTTAAAGAAGAGGAGGGAGAGAGAGAGAGAGACATCACCCCTACTAAAAATGCATTGTACATTCCAGAAGCGTCATCAGATGCAGTAGGTGAATTTGGCGCCCAGCCAATCGCACCAGGTGGAGACTGGTAAATGCCCACATAGGAAACAGCAATACACCCAAAGTAAAGGGCGTGTCTGGCAGGATATTGAGTCATTAGGTAGGCATGGTACACTTTCTACACATTCTTTCATCTCATCCAAATTCACAGAGAATGAGGCCTAACTCCTCTCTCTCTCTCTAAAAATCCCATCCCGATGTACACTTTGCCATTTTGTTGACTCTCTTCCTTTGGCACAGCAAAATACGCATTCAAAAAGGGAAGAGGGTTACTAAAGTTAGTTACCATGATTTCCAAGCTTATGCTGCGTGGGTTATGATGTGTAAACGTAGCACCATAAAAGTTGGTGTGTTGCAAGCCGACGGTCCTATGGCATAAGTGGTCAAGATCCTCCGAGCCCAGCCGTACAGCGCATAAAGATTGCTTTGCAGACTTGAACTTCCATTTTTGAAGGTGTCAAAAGGCCAATCACCATAACGCACTGCCCTGTTGAACCACTCAAGAGTCTAGATTGAAAAGAGCAGTAGTTCACGAAGGAGGCTTTACGTGCCACTTAGCCAGTGAAAAGTGAGAAACAAACTAGAAGGGTGCTCAATGGAGACCGATCAGATAAGTAAAGTACAAAATATCTGCCGTGGAATTAGGATTAGTTAAGAAGCGAAGTCATATTCAGATCAAATATTTGTTCACACCAACAAGGGGCGAACGGATAAAAGCTCTGCTGGTAGTGCTAATACTCTATGGAACACATTCGCTAACTTGGGTAATCAAAAATTTGCTCAAAGAATTAGTGTGAGGTCGTGATCTGCATGCAGTCAACATTCACTACAAAGGCTTTACAAAAGGAAGCTCATCAAGAAGCTCCTCATTGGTGTAATGCCAAAGCTCTTAGTCAAATGAGGGAGCTTTCGGCGAATTTACGCCTAGGAATGTTAAAAAAAGCACATGAGTATTGCATACTTAAAGAGTTCATTTGTTAAAATCACCATTTGATCAAGAAACGCTAAAATAAAGGCACTAATGCAATAAAAAGTCAAGCACATCCATTCTTCCCATTCTCTGATTGTAAAGCCAAAGTCACCTTGAAGTCATTTCCATTTAAGAGATTGAATGGTTAGTCAGACACTGAGCAGAGTCTTAAACAAGTTGCCTTGTGTTAAGAAGTAAATGAATTTCCAACTTAGCTTTGTGCAGCTCTGGTCAGAGCAAAACCTTTGAAGATGTGTATTAGAGCGGAACAAAACGAAGAAAAGTTGGGCAATACGAACATGCCCATAGAACTGGGAGCGCCTTGCTATCCCACTTCCTGCATTAGGAACAATCACTGAAAATAAAGGGAAATAAGATTATTTGCTATTTTTCTGACTCTGCGACTATCCAACAAGTAAACAAGCTGCATTCGTGGCGTGACTAGTTCTGAACCTTCTGTCGTCTATTATCCACTTGACCATGATTAAAGGTCCTTTGGTCATTCTTATTGTCATCTTCGTGGTAATTGGCTAAGTACGATCGGAGCTGGAATAACACATGAAAGGATTTACCCAGTGCATTGCCTCATTGACGTTTTCAAGCGAACCAAGAGTGTTTGAAACGTGGATACCGCTTCACTGCAATGCAAGTACTGCAATGTAGTACTTCTGCTTAGCCATCAAAGCCAGACAACGTATTCGAGTTATCTGAGAAAGCTGCACTGAGCAGTATAGTGGATGAAAGAGCACGGCGATCAAAATCACGAACATTACTCTTCCAAGTGATTTTTTTGTGGAGGCAATTTTTACATTGATTTCATCGGTTTCTCTTTTCATTGTTGAACATTTGATCAAAAACGATCAGAAGGAGCCGTAATCAGACCCGTATCCTCTGGCCTCTGACACATAATAACATACCAGTTCTGTTTACTGTCAAAAGCACTGCATACCACAGCTAATTGAAAACAGACTACATCCACTAAGAAGACGGCAGGAATGTAAAACATTTAAAATAAAGTAGAATGGAACGTGTGCACCGAATGTTGAAGGAAGGTGTTGTGCAACAAGCAGGTAGGCATAAGCACGGGTACCCTTATAAACTCGAAGCGAGGGTGAGTAAGGTTGGGGTGATCACACTACATGTGAAGCAGTAAACACAACGTGCCGATGCAAACGCACAACAACGCCTATGCAGATAGTTCCGTTGTCCGTTTCCCCAACGTTACCATCCAAAGTTTAATCTGGCTGTTACTATTCCCCAAATAACCTGGTAAAAGTGAATTCTAATGAATTTTCTCCTAAAACCACCTTGAAGTATTCCATAAATTAATTCGACTTCAGCTTACGATTGGTGAACTTGTTGTTGGATGCCTTTTCACCCACCAAAGATGGACTTCTTAGTCGAAAAAAATTTTAGTCTACCATCGAATGTTAAGTCAAATTGAAAAACACAGCTTCTGCTTACTTTGGAGTATCAAACAGGAGTACAAAGTTGCGACCTAACGGGAGCTATGACATGGTCCGACGACCCCAAAATCGTTTAAGAAGACTAATATGGACCAAACGGGCTAAAAATTAGGCTTTACCTAGAGTTTTGGCTAAGATTTTCAAGTCAATTTACAGACAAACCGCCTTTTGTGCCATTGCCGGTCCGTTATGTGAGAGTTCTGCAAAAATGCACCATAGGAATGCGACGAGACTGACCATACCAGACTCCTCTTCTTAGACACCGTCACGAACCACAGTGAGCATTTACAAATGCTTGTCTGTGTTTTACAGTTGATGGGAGAATTTACATTTTAGTTCAAACAAATGAATTCGCATTGATGAGTCCATTCTGCAATTTGTTTGAAAAAAATAGTCTCGTTAAAGAATGCGTTTCAGATATTCAAAGTCTGCAAAGATATTTGACAGTGGAGGAACGAAAACCGGATTCTACCAAAGTAAGTTGGGGGAAATTTTCTAGAGACACATGTTCGATTTGAAGGCAATGTGGTCGACAGCTTTGGTTTCTCCAACTTTTTATAAAAGCCTCACCGACATGATGGAGATGAAGAAAACAAGTGAAGCAGATGAATGAAGCTCTCTTCGCTTTAATCAGGAAACAAAGTTGTAAAGCTTAAAAGCGCCGCTTGTCTGGCCTCTACTCCACTGACTCACGCATCAGTAAGCCGTTAAAAATGCCTCATTTTGAATGGTGGGTCAAATGTGCAGCATATTTTGCAGTGTTTTGAGCTACTAGACTATAAAGTTTTCACAAATGAATTCTGCGAGTTGAGGAGCGACTAAAGGTGGAAGAACGTCAGATAAGTAATGTGTGATTCGCATAAAATAAATAAAACCAAGAGCAATGACTTAGAACTCGGCTTGAAACGGGTTTTCTGAGTGCGTCAGGCGAGGGATAGCTATGAATGACAACGAGAGGAACACTCCACCTTCACTTAGTAGAAGGTGTGTATAAGGAAATGAACAATTGGAAGGAAAAGGAGCACAATATCTATGTGTACAGTCTTCCAGCTTGAAAAAGTCAAACGGATTCGTTCTACATCATAGAAAGAACTACCTGCCGCTATTCTGCTTCTATACTGAAATGCGAAAACATTAGCGATCCTCAACCGAAACTAGCGATTCTAATGGCTCAAAAATTAAGAGTAATGGTGTAGGTGTTTTCCAGTACTGACTTGAGTAAACCGCGGACTTGGGACGATAAATTGGAAATCACGGTGAAAGTTTAAAAAATGAGCTGCTGAACTGAAACAATGGAAGTTATGTAGGAGGTACATGAAAAGATACCTTTACATTTCAGCCGTCCAAAATCGCACCCAATAGAGGGCCATAAAATTTTTCAGTCAAAAAGATAATGAATTTTTTTCTAGAACAAACACATCTGCAGTTGATCATCCAGAAACAACACCTAAATATCGCACAACTCTTAAATATCTACCTCTTAATAAGAGATTCTTAACTCGCATTACCCTCTACTTATCACATTCACACGAGGTGGATCTCATTTCTACGCACGCTAGCTATTCCTACACCTTTTAGTTTAATGCCTGCATTAAAATAATAATTAGTGACTTTAGAAGGCCTATATATATTTGAATTTCTTTACTCTTCCCATGAACTTACTTTCGACCTGAATGTCATGTTTAGAGATCTCGAAGACTCATGGCCAGAACTGACCGATCAAGAGGTCAATTTCTACCCTCCCAAATACCCTCATTCCTTTACAAGTACTTGTTTTACTGTATCCCTATATAGTGTTCTACTCAAATAATCCTTTCTCTGGTCTTATCGCTACACCTCAATAAGTAGATAAAGCAGTCTGGAGGGCGTCAGAAAGGTCCACCCACGAAAACTGACTTTGCTTTATCTAGATTAAGTCCCACCCCAAAGCCCACTAGTTCACTCAGAGAGGATTTACTCCACACCAACAACCGCCTACATTAAGGTCAGCCAGTTCGGCAGCCCGTTTCTCTATGAGCTGGGCGCGCTCTTGCGAAAGGACCTCAAGTCGAGCCATCTCAGCATCACGCTCTGCCAACTGCGCTCGAAGCTCCTCTATCTCTGGTCCTCCAGTCGCTTTGCCGTAACCGAGTGCACTGTCCTGGCCGGCACACAATTCCGTTGCAATTAACGCCTCCTTCTCCATTCGCTCTTTTGCCAACTCAGCCTCGAGGTCGAAAAGCTTTTTATCGGATATGCATTTCAGGTCCTGCAGCTGAAGAAGAAAGAATTTAAGGAACTGAAGTGGCTGATTATGACCTGCTTAAAAAATGAGAAAGTTGATAAATTGCTCTCTAGAGGAGAGAAAATTTTCTATACGGAACAGATTAAGTGCCATCTCTCGATTGTATATCAGTGGAAGGTATTGGACACCACGTCTGTAGAAGTAAAGTCAATTGGTGTGATTTCAATAGTAGCTTAAACTTTTCATTGCAAAAAAGTACTAGCCGCATAGTTAACATGCCTCATCAGAAAGATAAATAGGTTTAAGTCCATGTGGATGACTTTGATAAAATTTAGGAATCATAGATTTACGATCCTTATGCACAGAGTTCGATAAATGAGGAGGACTAAGTTAACTGGTTACAGGCTGGAAAGATAAAGTCACAAAGTTAAAAAAATCCATCTTTTAATGCAGGTACCAATTAATGGAAATAGGTCATTCTAGCGTCATCAATCAGTGTGAACTCTAATGCAGCAAATAGGTGCGTCGACAACAGCGATAGTTAACGGTAAGGTGATGTTCAGTGGCACCCAGGGGGAGTAACCAAAGTAAAAGAAGAGTTTTAATCTTGGCTCTTGTTCAAAGAAGGCTGACAATTTGTGAGAGCTATTAAATCGACTTTGTTAAGCAGATAGGATACGGTGTTTTTAAAGAGTATCAAAATAACAAATCTGCGGGGTGATTCACATATCAGTCTTATAGGGCTATGATGAACAAATATTTAAGGCAAAGAGCAAAGAAAGAGTGACTGAACAAATAAAAAGCGACGAATTGAGTAGCAAAAACTCCACCGTGTCGTTTATTATCCTAATGGGACTACAACTGCAACGAGCTGCGCTATCCGTACGCCTACGCCTCAGAATTCTCTGTGTCACTTGAGAAGCCATTGGTAAGCCTACGCAGTTGTCATTATACTATCATGAGTAGCTCATGGCTTACAGCAAGACATTGATGGGTGCGGCAGCAGGCTGTGTTTTAGTCTCAACAACTATTTAATGTGTCATCGCACTTGTCAACTGAGAGATTTGAAGGAATACAAGGCGGACATTATGAAGTGGTTGCCCTGTTCATTGACTTTGTTGCATGTATGAATTAAGTTTGGCTCAAAAACAGACAATCATGCTGGTATTTAGGAGGTAGACTGGGAGTTAGAAGCGCATTGCCCTGCAGACAGCTGTGAGATTAGTGTACAAATAAGAAATAAGGGACAATGACCTGATCCGTTCGTGAATTTTTGAAAAATGATAAAAAGAAATGATTTCGTTGAAAGTCTGCTGCAAAGTGCGATTCCAAAAGGCGATCACCCCTTGCAGTGCATTGGAACTCTCAAACCTAGGCTCCTGTTTCCATTGTTCATAATCCCCACCGATTAGCGATGGTTGCATATTTTTTAAATAAACCTACAGATATTGTTGATGATGAGGGCATTCAGATCCGAAACACGAAAGGAGCCGCAAGGTCATTAATTAAGAAGTGACCGAAAGAACAGGCTTCAGCTCTGCATTCTTTACTCTTTCCAAGAATAGCACTAATGTGATTGTTTATACGACTCCACATGCGAAATGTGAAATTAGTGATAGCAAATCTGCCAATAACTATTTAAAAGTTAGTTTGTTAGTTAGTTAATTTAGAGTCGACAGATGATGACCACTAACCATCGTCACATTCATCAGTTGCTATGCGCGAATTCGATGAAATGTGATCCGATCAAATTAAAAGGTTGTGAAGTTGGCATGTAAAACCACAAAACTCAACCCGCTTGGATTTCGAAAATGGTGTGTATTTTACCAAGGCAAAAATAGACGGAGTTAGCCTGCAAAATGGCTGCACAGTTCACATGGCATAAGCCCCTCTTGGCCCAATGTAATTTCTCGCCTACAAATGGAATTGTCTAACGAAATCAAGGTCACTATTTTCCTTCCTGCAGTCGGTAGAACACGAATTTGCATTTAGTGCTTCACTCCTTTATGGTCCCCCACAAAATGGCGGAAAAGGCTATCTCCATTTATTCCGCTTAATTAGCAATCAGAGTTTATTAGGAGTGAAATTTCCAAAGTACCAAACCACGTAGTAGATGGTGCCGTGACATTTAATGCTGCTGGTTCGTCACCCCACATATAGAATAGTCACCAATGAAATGCTGCTCGCTAATGACGTTATGCAACTGCTGCAACGGGACGTACAGCCACAGAGTGAGTCTGCTTAACGCAAAATGAAGTGATTGCCGTTCAAGCACTAATGGGCTTTCTAAAGGGCAATTTTTGACGACCAAATTCTGAGCAACTGCATTAGTACGATAGAATTAGTATAAAACACTTGTAGTGGATTTCAATGCCACCTAAAATGCAAGCCAATTGATAGCACAATCTGAAATTGCTTTGTTTGAGTAATTATTGGGAAGTCCGAATCCCACCTCCGACTTTCCCCATGCATTCAAAAATCCGAAACCTGCTATTGGCAAAATAGCCGGCGGTTCCCTGGTTAATAGTTGGTAAAAATGGTGGAAACATCTTTATAAAAGCAACACGGCCATATAACCATGGCGAAAAGGGACTCGTATAAAACACCTTAGACAGGAAACTTAATAGCTTGGCATTTTTCCCCGACCAATACAAGAACCTCGGAAGCCCAATTATCACAATGAACAGGTAGGGGAACATGTTCAATGCATGGGGACCCAACCGTTCCCTCACCCACCTCGCATTCACGAATTTTGACCTGCTTCTCCAGTTCCCTCACTCGCTCGCAGAAGACCTCCTTTTGTTCGTCTAAACATTGCTCCACTTGACGCAGCGAGGCGAGGGCGGTTTCGCGCTCCTTAGTGACACTGTGTAAGTTTTTGCGAGACTCTGCAAGCTCCTCCTGAAGGCGACCCATGTCTCGGTTCCAACACTCAACATTATTGGTGCGCTCCTTCAGGGACCTCCACAGAGCATTTCGATCAGCCGTCAGGGTGTCGATTTGGACCTTGTCAACCTTTAGCTGAAGCGATTTTGTAGACGATCATGTGTGCTTGATATTGTTGAAGTCATGATAAATTTTGCTTGCACTTCAAAGAACATACACTATCTGTTCGGAAACGGATGAGCTTAGTTTTCTAATGTCAACTTAGTCATCATTTCCACTTACTCCTAAAATACCTAATCGGAGAGGCGAAGGGCTTTTGGACTAGTGGCGTTCAGTGCAATTGTTTGTACGAATTAGAGTAGAATAGTTTCCATCATGGAATGCCTCTCTGTGTCAATTTGATAATTATCACGAGCAGTCTTTGGAGACTTAAAATCGTTAGGAGGAGTGTGAGTGGTTGTAAACGCACGAAGTTCAGTGTTTTCAATCCAAAAAAGTCACTTGAAGCACTCACTTCAAGTACGGCGCCTTATTTTGTTTTGAATTTTTGTGCGCCTACAGAATACTAATTTGTACTATGACCAGAGATTCCTTTTGATCTTTGATCTCTCCAATGCATTACGCGAATTGTTCGAGCGAAGAGCCTCTCTTTTCCCTCACTTTGCCACATGCATAACAAAAGCTTTTTACATTATGTTTAATTTTTGCCAATGCAGTCATGTTGATTGCTTAAATGCTGCTTAAAGTATGCAAACAAGTCATTTGTAAAGTTGGTGCTTCGCTTGCACATTTTATAGTTTACTCACCTAGAGGGGATCTTAACTGTACCTAATCTTCAACTTTACTAGTATTTTAAGATGTTCAACATCTGGGACCCCTTACTATTCAATTGTGTACTCCTGAAGTCATAATAATAGACAGAATGTCCACTTAACCCCATGTGAGCAAGAAAACTCCCTGGTAAGACGATATCTCATGATGCCGTCGATTTGGGATAGGGACGGGTAGCCTTCCAACAGTAGTATGCAGAAATTATGCATATCAAACCCCAATGCAAGGTGTAAATACAAACCTGAACGCAGCCATCCTCTATTCCACAGTGGGGTGTGATACTGTGACCTCATTTACCTCGTATTCTAGATCTGTAAATTTGATGTGGATGCATGAAGATTGAACCGTTATGGAAGGATGTTCTGATCCAGAAAGTTCATTTCTGTCGGGCAGAATGCATTTATAATGGAAATTGTTTCTGACGACATCAACAAACAGTGAGTGCTGATGGGAAATTATTTTTCACAATGCAAATTATTCCACAGTTGTTTCCTAATTTGCCTTTAATTCGCCCATAAACTCAGTTTTATGACTCGTCGTGTCACATTCCCTAAAATCACAACTGAGAACTGATTAATGCGTCGGGAAGAAGTGAAGAACTCGAGGTGTTCCATCAAAATGCACGATAATGGTTCGAAAATTAAGGAGTTGGTGAGTAATGGCGCTGGGTCTGAAGGAAATTGCTTTGCCAAGGCATTGTTTTTTCCAAAAGGCTATTATGTGTCGAGGCTGAAACGTGACTCACACAAGGATTCAGCTTAAATTATCTAGTATGGCAATTAATCAAAGCAACATTTTACAGGCGACAACTTTTCCGAGATGAGAGACGCACAGTTTCTCATCATGGCCAATAAATGATTTGGAATGAAGGGGCAATGGGGTATAAGAATAATTTTTAATGTTATTTTAAGGTGGGAATTGATAAAAGCGTACCTCTTGGACGAGTTTCTCGTTGGCTGATTTTTGAATGGCCATTTCATACTTCATCACCTTCTCCTCATGACGTACGCTACTAACAAGGCGGTCTATGAGACTCTCGATTCCATCCAAAAAACTCTCCCACTCTTTCTCCATTGACTGCTGTTCCGAGAGTTGGAGAAGCAGCATATCCCGCTCCTGACAGAGTGCCTTTATAAATAACAAGGAAAAACGGGCAACTTACTGCGCGCACCGACAATGCATTCTGCACTATGGAGCAAAATGAAACTCATAAGCAGCGGAACCTGTGGGTAACAGACTGGATGGATCTGATTAAATCAGTAAAGGTACGACTTGATTTAATTTTTCCTTATCAGGCACAATTCGGGCACAAAGGGCATCAACACAAATGTTTTTATCTCGTTTGAATTCCACTGTTAACATGAATAGAAGCGTAATTAACCTCAGACTAAAGGCAACCTACTCCAACATGGCCCCACCGGTCGTTATGCTCACTAGCGAAGGAAAAGTGCAGGCGATTTGTAATGCTGGGTTTACTGTATGCCTGTAGCTCAAATTCATTTGCTTAAATTACCTTCATTGTCCATTGCTTATTGACCCTTTTGATCTCACTCATCTAAAATATCACTAAGTTATTTTTTACTTACATTTAATTTCGAAGATAGGACTTCATACTCTGTAGATGAAATCCAAACTAGACAGTAAGAAACTGATAAAAAAGTTTTAGGCACCCTACATTCATTGCAATAGCCTTATTCGTTGCATTTCGTTTGACGGAATTGATAACCACATTTTAGCATTTCAAAACTTAATTTTACTAGGCTGAATGCCGTCTATCTTTGGTCCTGTTTCCAGTTGCATCTTGTCCACTTCTTGAACCCTAAACTTGAGGAAAATAAGGATTTTTATCAGTGTTGACTCATTTCGCCATTAATGCGATGGCTGCAGCAGTGTAATACGGTGAGTTGAAGCATTATCTTAACGTATTGGAGGCGGAAGGTGAGAGAGAAGGAAAACTTGTAGTCGAAGACCTTTGACGATGCCGAAGTTGTTGACCAGTGCCACAGTGGAGTTATGTAAGCTGCATTGTTCTTGTACAATTTCGAGAGAACAAATTTAATTGGCTGTCAACCGTGGCGAATCGCAGGGATATTATCTATTCTACGGCCTCTATGGTTGAGTCTTAGATGATTAAACGTTCTTCACAATCACTCAATTACTTTATTATGGTGCGTGGGCGAGTAGTAGTTACAACGAGAGCTGAGGCTGTTATACAAGAAGCATGGGGTGGTCGATTTCCCTACCCCTACTTTCATGCGATGCGAATTAAATGCCGCACACGTTGCACACACACATTTTTGCGCACAATTTTTGATGCCATCCATAAACTACGAATCACTGCCACGCCCTCCATGGCTAGCCCCAATTCGAGTTACCATTGCCCACGGGGAGCCAATCCGGTTCGGCTCAGCCCAACTCCGTTGACTTTGGAAAATGCAGTGCGTCATTTTTGTATGTTGCCTGGCCACTTTATCTCCCATGGCCTGGAATGCGGTGAAAAGAGCTGGTAATCAGGTCGAAAGGACGTCTCCTTAGCTCCGGCAGAATTTCCCACAGTTTTAGAACTTGCATCACTTTCGATACTGAGGTTGTTCTACACCAAAGTAGGAGGATAACGCTAATATAAGACCTGGTAGCTGGAAGGGGTAAAAACTAAAATTTGTGGGAACTGAACTCACAATACGATATGATGTCCTCTTAAAAAGTACTTTATTTTAGGAATTCTCTACACGAATCATAAACATTCGAAAAGTGATCAGTAAAACTAGTCACTTCTCAAATGTACATTTGTGTTCGGTAAAGTCGAATTTCGAGGGATTAATAGAGAATTCAGGAAAGTAACTAAAATTGTATAGAAGGATTAGCAATAGGCCCACAGTGCTAGTTCGGAGAAGAATGCAAAAGGAGCGGAAATAGGAGCTTGCACCTTGAAATGCCCAGATTCTGCAGCAATGTTCAATCAAAAAACTCTTAGTCAGAGGTCTCTTGCTAAACCACAAATATGAAGTCGTTCAGAAAGGCATTGCACTTTATCCTATGAAAGCCACAGTCTTTTACGCTCTTTTGTGCTAAATCAGTGCTTGCCAACGGCGACGATTGTTGCATCATTGAAATCAGATTGCAACAAAATCAACGATTTCCGGGATCTGCTTTCCATTATGATGACACAAAGTTCCGCATAAGTCGGTTATTTTTCCGGTCTCCCAACAGTTTGAATTATGACTCTTGCATCCTCAACAACCGCTAACTTATCTGGAGTTGTTCACCACACAATTCGAAGGTGATTCAGAGCCAAAAGTGAGCACCCAAAGCTAATAACTCCCGTTTTCCTAATCAACAAAGAGTAAATATAAGACCGCTGCTGCCATACAAGGGCGCTTACACAGGTAAACTTAGTGCATCCGCACCACTGACCCGATATGGCGGTACAATGATCAACACAACCACCTGATTGTCGCGCTATTTTCGTGCTAGACCTTGACACTTATTTACTACTCTATGAGGTCGTTTAGGCTCCGATTTGTTAGGAACCACAAAGTAGGAAAATCTGCTCACCCTGATGCGCTAACGAAAGTCGTAATCGTGATTGCATAACAGGTATGAATGAATCGCATGTATTATTGGAGTAAACAATTCAATCCATTCATAGCCTGTCATAAGAGCAGTGCCATTGACGCTCTGACAAGCTATGCGGTTTGCAGCTTATACTAGTCAATGAATGCCTTTCAGGAGAAAAAATGCCCATACATGCATTGATTTACAAAAGGACGCAAATGCTGTACTTTCGGTAAGTTTGAGTTGTTTTCAGGTTTAATAATGTGGCCGACTTAAAAATCACATTACAGCTTACGGCTTCCAGGTGGGCATAATCGCATCCAGCTATTTCCTTGTAGAAGCCAAAGGAGATGAGAAGTTGGGTTAGCATATTCTCTGTGCCAAACTGGCAGATGGTACAAAAAGAATCTGGGAAGTCATCCGAGGAAGCCTAAACTACTTTTAAGTCGATTTTGCAGGGCATAGGGAAACCATCGAAGTTAAGTAGTGCTTGTTATATCTATGCATCAATTTTATCTTCACAGTAGGAGGAAAAGGAATCTAGCGGGGTGTAGCGCGGCTAAAAGTTACCATTCCTGATTACCGAATAGGTGTCTAAATAACTATCACTTCTCGAAAAGTGAAAAAAATTGCACAAATTAGGGCAATGTTTTCCCTCATCCTCAAATTAGGGAACTCGTGGCATAAAATGGAGTTCGTTGCCTCTTTTGTGAGTTCTTCACAATCAGATGCTCACCCCATATCGTAGATAACAAGTTATATGAAAATGTTAGGTCCAAATCAGCCTATCCTTCCCCCCATTTTTATGCTTTAATGAACGTTACTTCGCCGATTCAATGACACCGAAGCCTGAAGTCCATATTCTCGCTTATCCAAAAACGCTGCCGACATTGTGATTGTTTTAAATTTAGGCGAATTTACTTTAAGACCTTTTTAACTAACAAACTCGCGTTTTTTCCATCAAAATTAAACAAGAGTTAGATATCTAGGTGTCGGTGGCACCTCAGTCTACGACAATATGGGAAACCGAGCGATGACCGTGAGGACTGTTACTTGCCTCAATCATCACAACTCAAAATGACCATGGAGTGTTGATTCAAAATACCTGAGCTCCATCAAAAAGCAACAGTGATGGAAGAACAGCCTTCTTCGTTCATCTGAATGACTTCCATCCTACCTACCAATCTGGCCAAGTTTATCAACAGAAGACAAACGAATATAGCTCTCTACTCGACTGTGAATAGGGACAACTCATTCCTAATTGCAGGTTCGAAATAAATATTGGTCCTATAATCTTGGCCTTCAATAAAACTGCATTTAATTATTTCATATACCTTCTCTGTGACGTAGGTCGCCATAACGATGCCCTTTACAAGTAACCAACTGTCGAAATGGAAACCTATACGTCCACCCAAGGTCAGTTAAAATGAGGATTCGACATTGGCACTAAAACCCGTGTTACTCGTTGACAGTGATTATAGCTCTGATAATCGTAAAATCGTAAAAAGAGTATTAGAATCTAGGGTTTGCTTACGGCTCTAGGCTTTCAGTGGTCTGTCCCTTACAATCGACAACCCACATATAAATACTCTATCTTAGAAGAAGAGGATTCCTATTTTTTGGCTCCTTTGATCGATTACTCTTGTGACTCGAAATGATGAAGTTCCCCGTAGGCATTACAGGTATGAAAGATTCCTGAGAAGATATGAGCTAATTCCTTTCGTGATTCGAAATAAAATTTTTATTTGATGGGCCATTACGCTTCACTAGGGGCAGGCGGATGGAGTGATGGATTAAACACAAAATAAACCAGTTCAAATGCTTCCCTGGTTTGCTATTGTGCCATCACATTTCTACACACCTTTATTTCAGATAAAAGAGACTTCCGGGTGTTAGTAGAGAGGACAGAAATGCATAGTAGAGGACTCAAAAAGTGTTCACCACTACATTACTGCATGCCTTGAAAAGACGAGGCTTACTATTGATAATTTTGAGGTTTTAAAATAATTGTCATGGAGACGAATTTTATATACTAAACTTTATTTATACTTTTTGTGAAACTTTTGCAGTTTGTGTAAGTTTGCCTTAATTTCATAGGAAATGTATGCCACATAGTTCACATCAACAGTATCGCATCCATTAGAGCTCATAGAGGATTCATTCACCTTCAGATTCGAAAATGTATAAGTAAATCAATACGATTGGCGTTTAAGATCTTTCCCTGGTACCAGATTCGTGTCGAGTATTAGGGTATTTGCTGACTTTAACCACAACAGCTGCCGTTGTCACTATTAATGTCAACAATGCATCTCTTCCTTCTCCGCTTGAGTGACGTGACCATGCTTCAACATAAGCGATTATCCTCAGCAAGTCAATACTGCCTTGCGAAGGCAAGAATTAAAACAGTTAGCGATTTGTTTCGAAAACAAATTCACCATTATTCAAATCACCAAGGTCTACTTACATCGACACGCTTAAAGAGACAATCACTGCGTTCATCAGCACTGTTGAGGTGAGGCCGCAGTTCGTGCTCAATGCAGGAACGAAGAGTGTGCAGTCGATCTGCCTCCTCTGCTGCCCTCGCCTCCGTTGCCTCGGCCTGGAGCGCCACAAACTCTGCTGCCTGCTGCCGCAGTGCACGCACCTCCACTTGAAGCTCCGCAACTCGTTCAGTTTCCACTGCTGACTCGCGCTGAGCTGAAGCGCTAATCAATGCGGCGGTCAGTTCTTTCACTTTGGTCTTGTGGGGCAGAGGAAAAAAGGAGGCAGATTATGAGGCTTAAACATATGCAGACAGCAGTATGCCCTTTGTCAATTGCTCCGTGTTCCCATAATCATCCCTGTGGTCAACTGTCCGATATTTCAGCAATTAGCGTTATTGTTACCGAACCATCAAATGCCGATGCTTAGACTTTATTTACACTAGTAAATTTGTCCTAGAGATAGTTGGATTATCTAAATAATGCTGAAGTTAAAATGACATTAATCAATGGTTTGATGGCATTCAGTTTTTACGTAAGGGGTTTAAGAAGCCAGATCCAGATGCCAGTACAAACTCCTGCCTCGAATGCACTGAATTTAATGGATGCTATCACACGTCAAATTCAGAAGGATCTTCCTTAGCAAAGGAGAATCAATCATCTGCCTGGTCCATTAGCAAACAACAAAGTGTCAAATCGCTTACTACGCATTGGCATAATAACCCCCTTGTGGTAATTAACGTGACAAGATTTGTTTAAACTGCTTCACATGATCTGAATTATCACTTGTTACGGCAAATTAACTCGGTTGATCTATTTTCGAAGTGTGGATATGGCTTCTTTTGAAATATTAAGGTTAGCAGAAATTGAAATATATTCGAAGAAGGTGTTCATAAGCTTCGCAACAAGCCTATGGCAAATAGGGTTGATGTTTTGATTTGGGCTTGATGAGGTGATTGATTGACTCTGCCAAGGGAAACGGATCCAATTATCGTAAACAATTCCAAGGTTGTAAATTATCTTCTCCAACAATAGTACGTGAAGAATTGGTTAAATGAAGTGGCGTGATCAATGAAAAAAGGATACGCAAACAGTCGGTAGGTGAATGCGATGTCTGCCCCGAAAGCAATGTAAAACTCAAGTATGCACAACCTAGGCGCATACCATCACTGGCATTCTCCAAACGACTTTTGCACGACCTACCATGGCCTTCTAGGGCCTTAATCATCTTGTCCACATAAAACTTTCTGTTCTGTACTTGGTGAATCTCAACTGCAGTTTATATAACCAAGTGCTTGCAGGAGAGGAACCGACTAAAGCTAAACTTCACCCATATGACACAATGTAATCAGGGTGGATGAAAGAAAATCCCTTCTACTGAAAGACTCGAGGCTGTTAGTAGAATAAAATGGAGTCCTACCCTTTCAAAGCATCATCTCACAAACTTTCGTGGGATATTTCCTCTGGAACGGAATAAAAACGCTGGTATCCTTGCATTCCTTCAGGCGATTATTATTACCTGTTCTTGAAAAGCAACAATGCACAGCTGTGGATGAAATGGACGATTTTGAAATAGAACTGAAGCAGAAATGGGAACAGATGGAAAGAGCAATATTGTGCTGCGTTGCAGAAAGATAAAGGCCGTAATTGGATATGATATTTCCTAATGCCATTTAAAATCATTTGTTTTGTAGTAAATTCACAGAGACAATCGATCATATTCCTTCACTTACATAAGGGCCTCATTTAAACTTAGTTTTTTGGGCATTCAGGTGGCTGAGACGTCTAAATTTTCCATTACAGAATCCTAAGCTGGAAGCATCACAAAGACCGACGTGGTCATAAAAGGCTAATTTCTCAAGACTGGCAGGCAATATATAGGTGGGCTATAGCTTCATCGTTAGAACAAACAAGGTTAGACATTTCACCCGCTTCGGCTGAGAAGCAAATTTTTGATACCTTCTTGCAAATGTGCTGATCGAAATGAAACATTCTAACTTAGGTAACTGCTTGTGTACGGGTATATGTATGTGGGATTTTTAGAGAAGGAAGACTGTGTGAAACAATGCACGTGAGCACCACCTTGAGGTCACGAGAAATAAGACTCAGTTTAAATTTTCTTTTCTCCTCCCTTCGAGAATCTGAGCATCCATAAGTGCAAATATTTGAGGGCAGCGAAGGTACGATCAAAATCGTGTAGGAAAAGTGCGGTGCCATTCTTTACGCCTTGGACTTCCCCGTGTATTTTTGTTCACAATTTGCTATAGGTTTCACCGTTTACCACTTAAGGTCGTTTCTTAGCTAAACGCTTCCTAACTTTGTGTTTCCCAAAAAACTTTCCCGAGGGAAGAGGAGACGTGTACCAATATGATCGGCATTTAGTGAAATTGACACTACTCTGCATCACTTGTGTGCTGTGGAAGAAGTCAGGAAAAAATCGAAAAGCAAACAGGAAGTAGTCAAATCTACTTCTGTAAAAACATTGGACAAATGTGAAATATGAAATACCAATATTGTTCGCAAGTTTAAATTCCAATAAAAACAGCTTTGGCTAAATATTATTGTGAAATTGGGCAAGTGGTGTTCCTTGAAGGAAACCATGGGATTAAAGGACTATTATTATGCGTGTTACTCAATAGAAGATGTAGATAAAAACTTGAAGGTAAGTTGCCATATTTTCAAGAGCAAAAACGCTAAAATGAAGTATAGCTTAACGCTAAATATTTGAACCGCGTGTCATTCAAAACAATGTTGAGATTTGCATTTATTCAGGGTAAGGCAAAGCGAATAAAGCAAATAAAGAGTGTTTCAAGTTTGACAAAAGGGATATCTCTAAACGACAACAAAGCCTTTAAAGCCTTACACAATACAGGTCAAAATCTTTGCCGTTTTCAACTGCAACACATGACCACAAAATTTCACATCAAAAGGATGGAGACTGCGAGCCGTTTTGCTAAACTTATTTTAAATGCGGTATTATGCACTAAAATGAATATAGATTATGGTAACTTCAAGCAAACAAAAAAGCAACTGATGAGGAATCTTAGGTATTAATGCGGTGAATTTACATAGGACCAAGGAACGTTGTGCCAGATCCTAAATAGTGCGCCTTTTGGAACGGAAGTGTCATATTTGTAAGAAGACACCTGTCCTCCTCTGCTCTTTTATAAAACCAAGAAAATCGTTTTTGCAAAGAAACCAAAGTAACTCAACACACAGTAGAAACGTTTTACTTATTGATAATAAGCAGTAAGTCCTGCGCGGTCTCACATTTGCTTTTTCATATTCATGCTGCCAATGTTCAGAGTTGTTACAAGCGTTAGAAGTAGCCTGTTTGAGGCGCGATATCTCCAATTCCGATCCCTTGATGACATCTTTTAGACGACCGTTTTCAGTCTCGAGATCCTCTACACGCACAGTCAAATCTTCACACCGGCGCTTCGCACTGATCAGGAGGGATTCAGTCTTTAGAGACTTCTCTGTCATCTTTTTAAGGACCTCCTGAGTCTCATCTCGATTTTTTTGAGCTAAAAAGCGAAATATTTTATTTGAAATGGAAAAATGACAAGGAATCTGGTGAGCAAAATATGTTAATGGATTTTAACAGCATAAGTCAACTAAAAGGAAACAGACAAATATGATAAAGGTGGGGACATATGCCAATGAAAACAGAAAGGAGCGATAAGTGAGGATTGATTTTATTTTCAAAGTGGGTGGATTGCGTAATTGTTGTCTTCTGTAAAGAGAAAGTGAAGTGTATGCATACCTCGTGTTTAGCTAACGTAAGATATTAAGGCGATGAAATAGGTAGCTAATAGAGAATCCTTACCCTCAGCAAACTGTCCTCGCAACCGCTCTACCACAGTGACCAAGTTGGTGGCTCGGGCGGCGTGTCGTGAGGCTTTCTGCTGCGCCTCCGCCAACATTTCCGCCGAATGTGCCGCCGAAGCAGCGCTCTGTGCCTCCTTATCCTGCAGTCTCTTTGTCGCCGCTTTGGCCTCTGCTACCATTTCCGTCGATATCTGCAAGACGGAGATAGAAAAATAATCTCATCACTTTGGAATGCTATTTTTGTAAAGTGTGAAACTATAAATCTATGACTCTTCAATGAGTTGCATATCCACATCACTTGAATCGATGACAAATCGTAATAATAGTTACATATTAACAAGAGAATAAAACGATCTACTGATTCATCAGAATACTACCGTGGCCATATCTACCTTCATTTGTGACTTCATCTGTGGTTGTGAGTACTAAGATTGAAAGAACACTTGTAAGAAGTCAGAGGTGACTCGCATAGAGAGGGGTGAGTTAAAGGTTTTGAGATAAGTAAGCATTGCATCGCTCATGCCTCCTAGGCTCTCATATTCGTTTATACAGATAAAAGAAGTTCTGTTTGTGTCATACTGCATGGAAGCACGAACAGAAATATTTATAGAACTTTAAAAAGATCTTGTGGAATCAGCACAGTTTAAGGAGTTTGTTCAACAACACCATTGCTGTGCTTCATCAAACTTGTGTGCATATAATGCATCGATGATTGATTTGATCAATAAAAGGTGCCTTGCCTTCAGCTTTGAGTGCAGATCAAGAAGCTCTGCCTGATAGGAATCCCTTTGCTTTTGCACCTTACTTAATTCGCCTGCAATTGCCCTGACAGACGAGTCACGCTCGCGCTGAACATTAACTAGCTGAAAAAGTGAATTTCATTACTAACTACTAGCAACTATTTTACATAGTTTAAAAATAAAAGAGAAAATCTTATTTTCCACTCAATTTTATTCCAACTCAAACTGAGATTTAAAGCCTACATGTCCCGTGCACTGATAACAGACAGCTCTTTTTAGCAGTAATTAGACCTTAAGCACAGGCAGATAAGCAATGAGAATAAGTTTATGGTAATTTTTACTTTAAATGGCTAGAAAAATCCAACTCAAATTCTTTTACGGATACATTCAAGCAACGAAGTGGTTTACTCGTTCTTTCATTTGTTGACTTTCGGCTTCGAAGCGTTTGCGGGTATGTTCAAGTTCAGAGGTAAGTCGCGAAATTGTCTCCCTGGCCTCTGTCAGTCGTGATGAATGCGAATCTATGACTGTTTGTGTTTGACACTCGGCAAGTTCCAAACGGTTCAATATACCACACTTCATTTTCGCAATATACTTTGCGTATTCGGCCACTTTTTCCTCCAGGCATTCTCTGCTTTCCTCAGCCCTGATATGGCAGAAAACATGTTTTTGTAATTTAGCATCATTCTTCTAGTAAGTCCCAACAACTTGAGTCACAGCTGTAGTCCAAATCCCTGTTCAAAGTTTTCCAAGTAGTCTTGTTAAGAATTATGATTAAAAACGGTTCAGTACTACTTTATTAATCAAATAACAGCCAACAATATACACGTTACCACAGTTTAACTATTAGTTAACTTGCTGCAAAATACAATTTTAGGTTAAATCATTTAAAATTCTACTTAAAAAACCACTTGACCTGTCCCTTCATGAACGAGTAGTGAATAAAATCAAGTTGTTAACTGGAAAACAAAATCACCAAATAAAACTCGACGCAGAATATGAAAGACTAAATTTGTGGGTTTTAAGGAGACACAAGAGATACACTTACTTTACTCTGAGCGATCTTTCATCTTCCAATTTCTTTGTAAGCAAATCCACCAAAATGTCCCTTTCATCATGGTTGGTGCATGGCATTGTAAAGCAAGATGTCATAAACTTCAAACAATTCGAAATTAGCAAAACATAAAATGAATAAGTTCAATGTACTGAAGCGTCATCGACCTCCCCGTCAATAACTACATGCTCAAAATTATGAGGTGCATGTTATTTACTTTATATGAAGGCCAAATTCGTCATTCCGTTACATCAATGCATTTAAACACACGATGTGTGAGGCAACATGATATATTCGAAAAAATAAACTATAAATTTGTTTAGTTTTTAGAATTCCTTTTGTTGACAAAATTATGTTATGCATATATTTTTAATTATGAGCTTTTTACTGTCTCATACCGTAGAAGATTAGCAACAAGCGAAACGGGAGAAACCCAATTAAAACGGGGAACTCATAAAACAATTAATCTTATAAATAAATTTCTACAAGTTTTATGCGGAATGATGGGCTCCATTCGCTTAAGTACTTACAATGCTTTTGCTGGCTCTCCTGCCTACGTGTTTACGCAAGGTGGGGGAGTTGAGTTCGAAGGCGGCACCTTTTATAATGCGGCATGAACATTGTACAATGTATTAAAGAAAAAGAGGATGGTTTTTAACATGCTCTGACGACCCGTGAGGTCACTCAGACAAGTGTTCGGCGTAAAATACCCTCTAGTTACCAAAAAATCATATTCGTCACTGCGTGCATTTTGTTTCCTTTTCTTTGTTTACAGATGTAGTGTCCCAAGACTTCCTACCCGGATACCTGTATCACAAATTGGACAAAGTAACTGAGCCCACGTGTGCAAGGAACAGTCAAATCCTAAAATGACCGCCGAACGTCAGGTAGTCACATAAACAAAGCATTACGATAGAATCCTATACGTTGGCTAACTGCTATTTTTTGTAATTTATTGTCAGTAAGTTTTATGAGTCGGTTGGTATATGGGCAAAACTTACAAATGCCCGTTATCATTTAAGTGCGGAGATCTCTTTTGGAGATTAGCTTGCCTGTTGGAGTAAGAGCTGTTTTGGATTTGGCAGAACCTCAAATGGGTAGAGAGGATCTATACAGGATCTTCTTACTAATAAATTTCTGAGTGGGTGTGCTTCCTGTAAAATTGCTTTTGCTCAGTATGCCATGCGGCAATGGTTGGTAGCTCATGAGGTCTTAGATTGCCCAACTTCCTTTTCAAGTGTTTTAGCTTGTAAGATCCACGCTTGTAGAGGTTTGTTATAATCAAATATAGAGTTAGGAACTGTGTTTTTACTACGTCAATTATGTAACTGTATTAACTATTACGTATACTAAACTGAAAATTGTGCTCGTCCTTTGAATTGAATCTTTGTGTTGTATCCTGATATCGTTCAACAAGAAGAAATAACTCGACGATCCAGTCTAACTAGTGTAACAGTACGCCATTGCAGAGCTAAAATAGAGGTTCCTGCTCACGATCTTTAATGGTTACAGATGCAGCTCAAAGTACCATGATTAGTGGCAATCGTAAATCCTTCTTGAGCAGCTACAACCCGAGATTTTCACCGTGCTTTAATGCTGTGCCAACACTCTGGGAGGCGAAGCGCAAAATGAACTCGAAAGTAAGAAATTTAAGAGAATTCTCGCCAGACGTTCATGTATGCCAATGGGAAGGCAGTTTAAGGATAGAGGCGGAACACAGGGTTTTTAACCGAGTAACGCAATGAATGAGTCGACCACAATCCTGAAAAGGATCATTACGAGTCAGAAATTAGCAGGAAATTTGAATTTGGATCTTGGCATAGTGGAAATAAGTCTAAACTCAGGATATATAGATTTTTTAGAGCACAGAAAATGGACTTCGAAGTATTGAGTGAATTGGTGTGAAAGGCGAAATCTTCTTAGCAATGTTTGCAGTATTTTACTCAACTTTCATTCTGGCTAGTGGGAACGTCTTCGAAGGTTACCATCACAGTCTTAAAGATGGGAATTGTAACTATCATGAAGTCATAGCAGGAGATCACTTATTATCTCTCCAAAATTTTTGAGGTATTTTGGAGAATTGTGAGTTAGGCTAGCACTGACCATACATCGTTCTGATCGACTTACAAATTAAATACAGATTAAAGGCCCTTTAAGAAACTCTTGTACATCAATTGTCAAAAAAATGTTTGATTATAAATGCAAGTATAAGAAGTGCTGCTCGAGTCCGTACACCTTCCTCCTGATAATGCGTGGATCCCGACTCTTTCGGCTGCGTCGAAGCCCACGGGATGCAAAAATGTGACCAGAATTTCCTTCTGATTCTCTCATTACCAAATAGGGAGTTTTACATTCGTATGATTCAGGTTTTCCAAGTCAGGCACTAGACAACCAAACCATAGTGACAGTTTTCAGTTTGATCATTAATCTTTCAGCGCGCGACCCCACTTCGTGTGGAAACATGAGGGCAAGGAGACTAAGTGCTGCAGCAGTTGAGGCGCTTAAGCATGGCACTTACCTAACCACACGAATTACTCTCATAAGTGGATGCGAACATTGCTAGTCCTCATGTGACCATTGCTTTGGGAATTCAACCCTACGAAACCCAAAAGGCATCAGCACTCCCATGATTACCATATCGAGCTTCAACTTACAATCAAGTTTATTACAAAAAATGTTGAGTGACTACCACCTAACAGCTTTGGAAACCACAGTGCAACACCTCCGTATTCAAAGTTGGGGATGATTTATCTCACCACCCAAGTTCAATTTCGAAACCCCTTGCTGTCACTAGCCACAGCGCGAGAACCGAAGCGTCATCTGCTCAGTAAACATTTTTATGCCAGATGACCTTTGGAAACGGACTTCAGAGCCAACTGCAGAACAGAAATAATTGCTCATCAAAGGCATCTGAGCATCACCACATCATGTTCTAGATCCATAAGAGTACCCGACAAAAAGGGATGAAATTGCAGCAAAAATAGGTCATTCATTGCCGACTGCGGAATGAGGTAGGTGGAGAGCATACGCAAATGCGGTGAAGACGAGAAGCCAAACTTAATTCATCCATAGCGCCAAAATCACATCAAGTTACTCGTGAAATTGTGCAGTTCGTGCAGAGCGAACGAGTGGGATTCTTCGGAATGGGAAGAAGAGGAAGAAGAGAAGGAGTAAAATAGAAGACTGGGAAGGGAGCAATAAACAACACCACAGAAACGTATTCTCCTACACAGAAAAGCAGTTAGAATGTGTACATAGTTCTTGGTTAATCACATTTTTGGGTAAAAGAGGCAATATTTGTGGTCGCGGCAACAATGCTCTATCAGCACAGGAAGCCATTATGTAATACAGGGGAAGGGAGGAGGTTAATCTCATCAGAAAAAAAGACAAAGAAAAGTATAAAAAATAGCGAAAAGCGATGATAATGTAGGAACGGTGACAACGGTCGATCCGTCGCCCTCCTCCCTCAACCACCAGCCCGCCGACGACTTCACCGACTTTACCGCTGACTGTCGGTTAGGTTCAATGCGCTGCCACCCAGCACTAACACCACCACCACCACCACCACCAGCATTCGATTTGCGTGGTGAGTTTAACCGCTCAAGTCCATAGCCTCCTAAATAGGCGCTGTGGAAAATCTGTGATGGGTCAAGACTATTTGCGGTTTTTGGCTTAGACGGTGGCGCCTGATACACATTGTGGAGGTTGTTGTACCACTTTCCATTGCTTTGATATCCACCACTCCCACCGATTACCGTCCCCTCTCCTTCTGAAACCGCATCCACAGCATGATCACTCCAGATATCGAGAAAATCGGAGCCGAAAGGAAGGGGAAATGGCGGAGGAGGAGGGGGTGGAGGCTTATCTCCCAGTTCCACCGCGTAGGCCTCCGGTGAGAAACTGATGGAGGTCTTAGAACCGAAGGGGATAGGCAGTGGCGGTGGTACTACTGGTTCGTGTTCACCCAGCATGGAGGCAAGAGGATGGATTTGGCGCTCCCGAGGACCACGAGAAGGTAGCGTAGACTGTTGACGGGATGGATGGTGGGGCGGCTTTGTGCTTACGCCGTAGAAAGTGAGACTCCACCCGATTAGAGAGACTAAAAGGGTTAAGTTGAGTTTACCACTACAAGTACCTTAAGCGCACTCATACAAACAATTGAAGCAGCCGGCTAAATAAAATTTCGCATCCATAGAAAAAGGATTTGAGAAGGTTTTATGACCACACTTCACACTTCAGGTGAATAAAAATGCAGTGAGAGTATCAATTACGACTCGCAAAAAAGTAACCAGCTTAACGATTGAGTTCACATTGTAAAAGTTGCTTGCTTCATTTGAAAGTAGAAACGTGGGATTGTATCCTGAGGCAACTGAAAAATGTACTGTCTCGAGCAGTTCAGACGATAAATCCAAATTCCAATGGTATTTTGGATTAAAAGATTGTAAAAAAACATCAATTCAGATGTTCGTACAGGACTAATTGAACTAAATAATTTCAAAAGAACTTTGCTTCCTCATCATCGCCTTTCCTTTTGTTACATCCAGTTGACACGAACACCGCCAAATTTGAGGCTGCTCATATTCGGAGCACAGGTAAGTGTTAAATTTTCAATCAGCTCTCAATTAGCCTTTTAAATTTATGTTGCGTTGCTTTCTCGTTACTATCTTCATAACCCCCTAAGTATAACACACCAATAAACCTATTCTTTAAACTCAGACTGTTGGAGTAGAAGCTTGCCCTAAAATTAGCCTTTTCGGCTCTCTGGACATTTCTCACCTAGCATACCAGAAATGACCGGAGCGCTAGAGTACTCATATTTTGGACCCATGGCAGAAGGCACAAGACCCAAGTCTGGAAAAGAAGGCAACAACTCCAGACATCCCAAGAGTAAGAATGAGTAGTCAACTTACACCAGAGACCTCATTGAGAGACAGCCAACAGAACGGTAACCGCCTAATCAGCAGCCGAAACACGCGCTCACTGAGGCGTTTGTCTGACAGAAACGTGCGCACGAATTTACTACACCCAAGCGAGATGCTGTCTACGCACTCCCTTGCGCACCCACGCTCTTAAAGCCCATCCCTGCAACTCATTTTAAAAAATCTAGGCCTTAGACGGCTCAGCGCTGACACGTAGGTGAGATATTGGCGCCGTCTTAGCGCTCTCTCCAACTCCCGATGAGTGACAGCTCACTAATGGCTATCTTGACAGTGAAGCGAGGCACGAGCGCAGTTAAAATATATTACGGAAACACAAAAGAGGAAGGATTTGAAGGGAAGGACAATGAGGAAAATATTGAGCTAGCTGAACGAGTTCACCCGATGCTGAGCGACTAAAAGATTGTAGTTAAGATTTAGAGGGGTGTCTGGAGTAAGAAGTTCTGAGACTTTTGGGCGCCTTGAGAGTTATGCTTCAAACACTTGTCTGCCGGTCAAAGGGTAGTCAGTGTGACTAGGAGGCTTGGCACTTCCTCATTGGTTAATCTAAATTAAATGGCTAAGTTTTAGGCGCTTCGAGGATCACGATAAGGAAATTAGAGTGATTAGGATATTGTAATGAAATGGAAAGAATAATCCACCTTAAATCTTACGTCCGCGGATGTGAATAGGGTTGTTTGCTTGGGTCTTGGGTTTGACGAACGAGTTTTGGTAAACACTTTTACGTGCTTTTTGAAATGACATCAATCTGCAAAACTTCAACCTAGAGTCAGCGGAGCAAACCACCTGATAAATGACTTCCAAGTTGACAAGGAAACTAGTGTTATCAAACTTCTAAATCGAGAATTCTGGGAGACTTTGAGTCCTGTCTAGGCGACTGGGATGGCATGGACATTGTGAACAGCAAAACAAATCAGGCTCGCAGCAGCACCATAGTTGTTTGCACCGGCAAATGATGTGTTTTGAGACATCATCTGCATTATGAACATGTCGAACAATGACAAATAAACGCTACCCATTTGAGCAGAGTACAGCAAAATGGCTGATGAAATGTGTCACACAACTTTTGGACGGTGTTTACGTTTACCAGTTGCGAACCCTTGTGATAAAAGCATAACCCGACAGCAGAGTTGGAGGGAAATGCTGACATAAACAAGCACGGTTCAGCACTACTTTGAGAGTCTCAACCGCGTGCGTGTAAAAACGTTCTGCCAAATCATTCCAGAGGGGAAAACGTGGTCGGGGAAAAACTGCACGTTTGTACTAAGGGCAGTGTAGCGCCTCTCTGAAACTTCATTGAAGTCCGAGAAGAGACTAGTAGGTTTTTTTGTGCAGGAGTTTTTTGCACAACTTGCCTTTAATGACCAGTGAAAGGAGTTGATAAGCATCAATAGCTGCCATTTTCCCAATACACTTTTAGGACAATTGCTGAATTACAGAATGAATCTACAGGTGGCTAACAAGAGTGGAATGACTGCGGAATTGAATGAGAGGTTGGACTTAAAGCATAAACTCCAGGAACGCTGTTGCGGAACGGTTCTCCGTCGTCAATAATTGCCTTATAGTAGGTGCATAAAACAGAAACCCAACTTTTCCGTTGTATATTGAAATGGAAAATCCAAGAAACCAAAAGAAACGGTTTAAAGATGCTCCAGTCGTGCTAAAGAGGTAAGGAGATAGGGGTTTTTATGTTACCTGTCATCAAGCCCTCTCATGTTAATTGATAATAAAGCAGCTTCCAGGACCCTTTGCCTTACGACGATACAGGAGCTGATCAGGCTCCACGATGCGGGTGACCGTTGAACAGTTAAATAAGATTAACCTATGCTAGCGAAATACATTGTTAAAAAGCCTTCATATGTGAAGGAGATTTGCACAAAATTAATGAATTTGAACTTGTAAAAGAAAGTAAAATCGGAAAGTGTGAAAACAACAACTGAACTAGTGGTGCAAATGAGGCACGTCCATCAATAAAAATAATAAAACACTTTCACGTTTCAAAACGCCAGGATTAAAGCCCCAATAAAGGCCATTCTTAGACAATAAAAATAAAAAATGTTAGACGATGTCACGCTACTCACCAACAGCGTTACCCGAGTGGACGGTGAGAGTCCACGTGCCATTTGCTTTTTCACCCCAGAAGTGGACAGACATAAAGGGCCAGGCGTGGAATCCGGCAACGTCCAAATCGAAAGGTCGTTTGCTCAGCAGCTTGCTCTTTGTCCCCATCGGCGAGGTAAGCCATAGCTCCACCTCGCCTCGACATTCACTGGTCAGTGTGACCTTGAGGTGTGAGACGCAGAGGGATGGAGGTAAGAGGATGCAACCACTGAGAAACTTTGAAGCTATAAATAGTATCCTCATGCCTTCCCAAATTAAATTGTCCTACGTATAAGTATCCCCCCCCCTTGCAACGGAAGTGCCAAATCCACTCATCCTGAACAAAAACAACAGTTTCAAATCGCTAGTGTGGCATAAGTTAAGGTCAAAAAACGAAGACAAGAGAGTGAGGTAAGCCGATCAACGTCTTGTAGCATTCCAAATCACTTAACTTAGTTTTCAAGGGTCCACTGCCACTATGCAACTGATTTTGTTTCATTGCCTCAGAAGTTCAAGAGGACGAAACTAAACACCGCGAGGGAAGATGCACTGACTATTTCCTACCTATCATGAAAGAAGTAGGAGCTAAGGGTATTGTAGCGAATATATGTAAGAATGTTCATTTGGAAATCGAATAAAATGGAGTATCGCTTTGATGACAACAATGAGTGCACCTACGCCAGAGAGACGACAACAACTCGAATTTCATTAGCTGACATCTGCCATTCCCACTCAGTTCATGTTTTGAGAGCTAAACAGTGAGCACTATGAGGACTAACTTCAAGTCCTGTGGTTTTAGTACCCATTCATACAGAAATCGCTTGGTTCACTTGTTTAGCTTATTGTGATGAAAACCCATTTGGCTCATGCAAACAAATCAAAAGAAACTGGTGCTGAGAATCGGAGCTGAAGCAATCATGGGCAATCCAATACCACTTTACACCCTTCACTAATATGGAAGTAATTTCGTTAAATTCTGGTGCAGGCACTCTACGCAGTACTCCCGAGGTAAGTATTGTTTCGCTAGCTGCGAACAAGGTTATAGCTGAGTAAATATTTATGAGCCAGCGCAAAAAATATAACACCTAAAAACGGGAGATGGGCTGCAATTCACATAAAATGCCCAATATTGCGTAGTACACGCTTTCGAACCCCAGCTGAAACAACCAATAGAAGAGCAATGCAATCTAACAATTCGCAGCTAAGCGCTTCAAATTCTCAGCCTCATCTATTCAAACCGGATTCGATTGAAGTTTACAATTCGCTTTACCATAAATACTCTAGTGCATAGGCTCGAACCAATCACCGTAAGTTCTAGCAAACAGGATTTCTGCGTTCGCCTCCCAAAGGCATCTCAGTCCGCTTCATTTGTAATGAACAACCAGGTGTTAGCACCCCTCCCGATGTGCCTCATCATAACAACAGGCTGCTCTTCTCCGCAGTGAGCACTCACTGCCCCACACTTCCGAACTTAACCAACACCACACAATTCCGCGTTAAACTCTCCGAAAAGATGTACAAAAGTGCACATCTACACCAATCAACCTCAACCATCAATTTCCTCCTCTTGGCCTAATCCCACCGGAGTATAGTGGACTTGTACAGACCGAAAACTTGCGTTTATTTTACTGTTCAACGGACATCCAACTGGAACACAAAATGAGGCAAGATCGTGATTCTACATAGGCGGAAAAAAGATAACATATACAGTTTCAGGTGGATAAGGGGTGAAAAAGGAAAGAATTTACTCGCCTTACTGAAAAACTTATTCCCAGTTAAAATGTTCAACGGATTTGAGTGAATCCACCCACTTTCCCAGCCTAGTAAGCGCGACGCCGACACACCGAGAGGGAAATATGCAGGAAGTGGGAAATTTTGTATAACCTTGCCTTTATTGATAACAAGCAATTTATAATCACATCCACACAAGCACACACGAGGTGCTAATGAGTACTGCCCTGAAGCGAAATGAACAGTTTTTAAACATGGAGAACGGCTTGGAAATATCGCATTGTTAGATTTTAAAACATGATTTGTTTGCAAAAACACGTTTTTACAACACGCATAATCAATATCAACATACAAAACCTATCGGTTAGGTTATCAAAGTAATTGTAATTCAAACCGATGGGTGATGAAGGCGCAGGAACCACCCTCAAGATTAGGGAATGCCACCAAACGCGCCAAGGGCTACCCTAAGAACGTCCTAGTCCACAATCGGTATCAGCGACAAACCTTTTACATGAGATCAAAAAAAGGCTTTCACAGATAAAAATGGGTAGTGTGGGTTACGACAACACTGTTGAAAGAGGCTGCGCAAAAGGCGCTAACCGTTTGCTTCCTCCCTTTCGACCCTCAGACACCGATTCCGGACGGTTTGTAGAGAGAATGCACACTGGCGAACATCGCGCCTTCGGTAAAAACACTTTTTCTGGTTCAAAGGAAGGAATTTATTCAAAGCAAGGATTCAACAAAAGTCAGCCGGAAAAAACAAATAGCGGACCCTACAATCCATTTCCATCAGTGTGAACCTTGAGGTAACTATTCCTCCAGCATTAACTCTTGCTTGAGACGACTGAAAAGTTCTATAGTTGAATAGCTTCGTATGAAACTAGTGCCAAAGGATAACACGGTAGTTCAAAAGTACCATGACAAATTTGTTGCAAGAAGTGACCCCGAATTTAAAGCAGTTCCTCCAAACTTGGCATAGAGCACAGCATTAACGGAGAAAAAGAATGACATTTGTCCGATTCATTCCATCCTCCACAACGCGGCTTATTTAACGGCGGCGTCTCCTCCTGCACCACCTGTGCTGCCAAGATTGTAACTCTCCTTTAAAGGTAAAATGAAGCATCGCCATTCCAATTTTGAAGCACTATTTGGAAACAACACAGCTATGCAAACTGATATGCAGAGTAGCTTAAATACTTTTTAGCAATGCTACAATGATTTTAAGATCCAACTTAATTTTAGCCTTTAAAACAAAACAAAGTAGAGTTATCGAATGTCACAACTAGGAGTCTCGGAAATGAGCCACAAACAAATTCACAGCCACAGCAACTGTTTAGGAAAAAGGTCGGGAAATAATCTAGATTGTAAGTCTCCTAGCATCGCAATACAAATTCGTGTATTCAAGTCTCACTACCTCTCTCCTCCCTCCTCTCCCACCATTATAATAGAGTGTTAGGCAGAGTTGACTGACGACAGACTGCGTGAGGTAGAACTAAAGCCACACCTTCAGCGACTTTGTTGTGACAAAAGCAAGTAATGAATTTTTTATACCCTTAGTATATGAAAAATCAAAATAAAGATTAAAATGCCTTCAGTGCTCCCATTAGTTTTAATGAGGTGGCTTCTAAAATATACTTCAGATTCGCTTCTGAAGAGTCGCATGCAGAGCCACTGTTAAAAATAGGGATATCAAACAAGGTTGGAGATTTGTAGGTACAATCGAATCCGAATCCCACCGAACCACATGCTATGTTGTACAATAACGAAAAAACGTAGGTAGAAATAAAGACCGGAACTTGGGAATGTGAACATGAATTCATGTTGTTTTCCGACATTTCGACACCGCAAGGAAATGCACTTTAAATGGATTGGTTCACTGCCACAGCAACACGAAATCTGATCCTCTGTAATGGTTTCTTCTCTACCTTAATATCCTTCATTATTGAAGTAACATCACAATAGGAGACTCGAAGTTTCTTCATTAACCATTTCTTGCCACCTTTAGAGCGTTCCATAAATAATTTATACGACCACTGCCTGCAGTGCCATTGCGTGAATGTAATGAGACGTTAGGGTCACTCTCAAAAACCTAGAGAAGCAAAACATCAACAAGAGGCTCCTGATCATGAAATGGGAAAAAGATGGACAACTTTTTGTCTAAAGCGTAAAAAGAGAAGAGAGGGACAACTGGAAAGTCACGCTATCAGATAAGGGCAGGGGGCACGTGAGTGCATCTGCTTTGGGATGACAGGTCACGCAAGTATTGCTGATGCACACGGCAGAACAATGGAGGTGCAGAAGGAAATAGGATGAGAGCGCAAGCCTTGCTCTCCTCGGTTTCAATCGAAACAACCCAACTCGTAATAAACTCGGCCATTGTTAGTAAAATGCCTAAGTAATTAGCTTCGATGGATGAATAAAGATCCACAACCCCAAGAGAAGAAGAGTTGGAAGCAGATTCAACAGGTGGCCTAGTAAGGTGCCACTCATCCAATAAGTGGACGTGTAGTCACACTTATTCTCCAGCTAAGCGACGGACACTTAATGATATAAACACTTCACTGAATGAGATGATAATGAAATGGGAGAAATGCGTTAAAGACCCTATTTCATCAGCCGAAATCAGAGATGCGTCTTCCTGGAATTGGTTCTGACACTTTAACCCGCTCCCGAAATCAGACTGTTTAAAAAATTAGCGGCAGCAGTACCACCACCAACCAAGGGGTGGGATAATAAACGCGGTAATAAAGCACGCCCATGTTAGAGGCGTCTTTTACGACCAGGTTGCATGTGAAATTGCGACCAAGTAAGGTGGAATCGATGATTTAAATCGGAAATAAAAACCTACGTTTAAGGTGTGGACATGTTTTCGACAATAAAGAGTGTTAAAATTGGAAACGGCTTCCGCAGACGGCGAATACCACCTCAATCACAGATTCTCAGACTGCAATTCTATGGCGCCCGCGGAAATTCCTCATTAAAAGTACTTCCTCCTCCCAACGTTTCAGTTATCCTTTTTATGGCAAAAGGCGTGGAACGATTGAAATGAAGAAGTGAATGTTAGGCCATGAAAGTCGGGATAGTGCCTGCGATGCCTGAATGCGGGAAGGCGGGTATCTGGAACCAAAAATGATCACCTTAGTTTTAGACCTCAATGAAAGTATGTGCCGTCTATCCGTAATCTCGCAGGATCTTTTCCCACTCCAAAGATCCACGGTTCCACTCTCCATGATCGATGATATGTATGCAGAAAAACCATGCAAATCAATTCAATGATATGACGTGAACCATTAAGCCAGCAGCAAGCCACGGCAGAACCAAGGGGAAGTCCATACCATATGTGAGATATCCGCTAAACGAAATCAAACAACTCAAACCCCATATTTGAGGTATTCAAAATTAAGAGTTCGCAAAGTGAGGACGTAACAGCGATTCAGTTCCGGTACTTTGAACAAAGATCAGCTGAGAGCTAGAAAGGATAGAACAGGTGGTAAGTGAACTCCTCTCCTGTCGAGTTGCTCATGGAGGAATATTTAGGATATCTACCTGCCCTATCTTGGCTGGTTGCGTGAAACGGTGAATTCGCTCCTTACCCATATACATGAGGACACAAATCACGAAGGTGCCAATAAAAATGACTATAAATACGAACATTCTGGTAGGTGTATTTGCATACGTTCATGTGCACTCACACCTTTAGTACCGCAAGGAGTGCTAGACCGAAGCTTTTGAATTATTAAGTGTAAAAGCTTCAGAGAATTCAATTCGAATGCATTAAAAGTAGTCATCCGCTAAATTTGCGAACTTTTCCAACCGATTACCCAACGTGTGAAGTTTCGACATTAACTGTTTGTTGACATGATCGGGACCGTCTGGGATGACCCAGTCCACTTCCTCGCTAGTGCTGATCAAAATCAGGAAGTTGCATTGACATTCGGCATGTATTGACTTTTAGAAGTACAGATGTTGCCCATCAATGTGTTAGAAGGATTTGTTCCTTTTGTAACATCCCGCAATTAATGCACCGGTTGGTCGTTCCAAGCAATCCAATGAGGTAAGACAGAAGAAACTTGATCTAACTCAGACGCATTACCATGGATGAGCGCCTTCTAGAAGCACAAATGCTCAAGAGCTTTATGATGACATCTACCGATAAATCCGTTCACCATTTCGTGTTTCCAACACCACTACTGTCCACTCCCTTGATTAGTTGTGTCTTGATCAATCCGCGACACACGCACACACCAAATATTAAGGTCGAATAGCAGTTGCGCTACTTACTAATGCCCTTACGACTCATTTTATCTTTAATCTGTGAAATCAATAATCTTGACTTAATTTGAACCTCCAGAACGTGGAGTGATAGGCTGCCCGTTGTGTCGTCAACCTTCACATGCAGTACTATTTTTACTGGAACACACACATTTCCTGATAGGGCGCACGAGAGGTAAGAATAAGGACTAGAATATTTGCTTTTCCTTTGATAGCAAAGTAATGCAGAGAGTAGTAGTAGTAGTAGTAGGAGGAGGAGGAGGAGGAGGAGGAGAGCCATTGATCTCGTGAATTTTGTCCGGTCAGTATCATCACTGCATTGGTGGCAAATGAATCGCAAACAAATGGGCTGCTAAGCGCAAAATTTGGTTTACCCTGGAGCATATTAAACGAAAGGTCTCCTTTTCTCAGAGTGCCAAGTGATGCCTCCTAGCGTTACAAAGAAATAAGCAGTAACCTAAGCTAAGCAGTTGGTTAAAAAAAAATCACTACAATGTGGCAGCTGGGGGTGAAAGGTAGTGCTGTTTCGTTAAGGGAGGTCGCGAAATGCTGAACTACTGCGTTTCACTTGTTGAAATGAGAAAGAAAGGGTGATTGTGTTGTTAGTTTGAAAATATTTAAGCTGAGGTTTTGTCGCCAGCTGCAAACCTTTAACTGCAAATGAGATGACATTAACGACATGATGGAGTAATGACAGCAGCACGTTTTTGACCTATCGAAAATGTTTTACCATTGGCGGGGCTTCATTTTTTAATGAGAAAATGATCTAAAAGTAGAGGAGAAAAGAACAAGAAGCCTACAGTGCGCAAGTATGTTGACTGCTCAATGACAAAGGTGTGGTTTGAGGCCACTAAAGTTAGTCTTTTGAAATGTGGGAAATTTCCTTCAAGCCCTTTGACTAGTTAAATTGCATGTTCGTGTAAGACAACGCCGTTTTTGTCGACTCTGCCGACATTTTTGTCGTATACTACTGCTGCACATAGGAAAACACTTGTATCGCTTGTAAAGGCGCTACAAATACTTGTGCCATCGACATGGTGCGATGGTAAGGTCTATCCTTTTCATAGCACGTTCAACTGCACAAAATACTTCCAGCCTAACTATAATGCTAGAGGAGCTAGGGTGTTTGAACAGGAGTCCAATCCTCAGATAAGGCGATCAAAAAAGTGCTGTCACATTCATTTGTTTTGCAGCATCCTCTGAAATGACACAGTATGTAAGCTACTATCAAATACTTTCTATTTAGCCACAGTTTTCGAGTGCATACCATTTTTGTACATAAGATAAAGGGGAGTGACCCTCACCTTTGCCTGAACATGCTCCAAGTAGACAACGCCCCTTGATGGGTCACCGGCTTCATTAATAAGACACCCGTCAGTCTCCAGTCGCAGTTGCTCCGTCGTGTGATGACGCATCTTCAGCGGACTACGCGGAAGGGGAGCGCGCACCTCGCAGATCCGCTGGGTGGGAACTGTAGTCCAGTTGAGCGCCAGATCCACCATTGCTGCAGCGTCCATAAGCCCGTAGCTAAAAGAGCACTCCGGAGAGGAGTTATGTGACTTTTAAACAAAGCATGACCAGACAACATTTCCTGAAAATATCGGCGACAGAAATAATTTGACTGTGAGAATACAAATATTTGGGTTCTGTCATCCATCTCCGTTGCAAGCAAAATAAAGATGTTTCGTGCAGAAGGAACTAGTCATCAGTGAGTGTAGTTTGTGGAAAAGGGAGCCGTCCTGATAGTCAATCCAAAACACCTCGACTTCAATAACACTGGATGCATATACTTACATTTACCTAGCAAAGAGAGGCTAGAAGTAACCTTTTCGAGATCTGAAATATCCTAACCCGATTCGTAGAATTGTGTGCTTTCTGTTGCAAGCCGTACAAAGCAGCAAGGTTGATACAGTTTGGCAACTTAAAATGCTGTTTCCTAAGTGCGTGAAGCACGACATCGGACTTGGTTGCAAAATACTATTAAATTTGTTAAGGAAGAAAAACATTCAATTCACATATCGAACAACTATTCCTCTGAAATATGGAATTACTGGAAAATGAGCTTGAAGGCATGAGGAAACTAGTAACAATGATATTAATAAACATTTCCAGCGACAATCTCCACTTATCTTCTTTGCTAAGTGGGTTCAAGATTCTAGCACAATCTATCAGCTTACACCATCACAGTAGGCTGTGTGTACTATTTCGCGTGGTTAATCTTTGCCAGAGAGCTTCCAAGTTATTCGTCTTTCATACAACCCTTGGACTACAGCTGGTTCAACACTAAACTATCACACGGATTGTAAAATATTTAATGCGAAAATTGACATCACAGGGAATGCGGTGTAAGGCAACGGTACGATGTGACGGTTTATTTTTTGGATCCGAGGCTGAACTTATTTTGGCTTGATAACAAGAGAATGAAGTAGACAAGGTCAAATTTTTCCACACATTTTGGAGCACACTGTGTTTGTGATCGTATGAGATCGGCCGGTTTTTCGTATTAGTTCACCGAAAAACGGCGGCATTTCAAAGAACCGCAATTCATAACCCGAAAGTCAGCCCGAGCGCAATATTAATGGGTTGAGATCGCATCAATAAAACCCGTTTAAATGGGTTGTCGTAAATGTGTAAAATTGAGAATGGATTTCTAGTTTAGTAATCCAATGTCGAACACGTTCACGATCAAGGCATCAAGGGAAGTCATCATCACAGACCAATCAAATTGTCACAAATATATAATGAGCGTAGGTCACATTTGTAACGCTAAGCTCAGATAAGGTGAGAGCGCCCATGTATACAAGTGATAGCAATTGTGTAGCAAAAAAACAAGATTGAAGGCCACCACCAACCAGAGGGATGTTGTTGTCCACTAGTCAGGGGGCAGCATTGGCCGTACCTGATTTCTTGACAAAGACCAACGTACACCTGTCACTCAGCCGTTCGGCATAATTAGGCGATTGGCGTGTCCACTGGTCAAAATGACACAAAATGAAAGTCGTCAGTCTTATCACGACAGCATTGGGGAATATTTGGAACAAAAATTCGCACACTGCCCAAATCCACCACGAACAGTGATTACAACAATGTCAAAATACCGGAAATACAGTAATAATAGCCAAGTCATGCTGACAGTCGTTTTACTACTCCCCCATGTTGAATCCAGTGGGCTGACTATAGCTGCCAGCAAGGGTATTCGAATTTCGTCCCCCTTTTTCAAACTGTAAACAGGAAAATTGATTACAACCATTACTCGAAACACTATTTCTTGGCAGATTTCAACCTCTAATTTGAGGTGGTGCTTCCGGACCGCTAGTTACGGTAAACGCATACATCAGTACGATCATATACTATTTAATGTCGCATAAAACTTTATACTAATCACCGAGATGCCCTGCGTAAAAACAAATTGTAAGGCCCTCTGCTTCCAGTTTCCGGCCTCACTTTTGCCAATTAAACTTCTCCTTCAACATGCACAGCGTCCTCAAAAGTGCAAACAACCAAACAAACAAACAGGAAGGCTGTAATCTTACTAACAACATGCATTCATCAAAAACAGGTCTTTTTTCATGCGGATGCCAGGGTCTAGCTTTGGAAATTATTTAAAGGCTCATTGAGGTGCAGGAAATGAAATCCACTTCAACCGACAAAAAGTTAAACGAAACGTCCCTTTAAGCAGTCAGGAATTTGGTAAACACGCCAACTCGTGAAGGCGTGAACAAGGAATAACTGAGAGTTAACAAGTATTTGCTGCTTTGGTGAGTTAATTGGTACTGACAATAAAAAATTCATGGGTCAGTTGCATTCGATATTCTAAGTCATATTCAATCAGGTCAGCGTGTGACATTTTCAACCACTAATTTCCCAAAATGGTTTCACGCCAAACGATTTCGTTTAGCAAAAATGATGGCTACTGTTTTCATCGAATGTTCTTAGAATTGGGGGACGTTTCTTAGTTTATCTAAACATTCTAAAAGATTAAAATTGCTTAAAGCGCAGGCAGAATTTTATGCTCCCTGGGTTGCCTGTCTAAAGTAGGAAGAACAAATAGCTGTCCATTGGGATACAAAATATACTTTAGAATAAAAACAAACACTCAGCCAGTCATTAAAACTTCATCAGGCGAAGAGAATTTGTCCGAGAAACATTAGTACATTCAAATCAAATTGAAAGAATTTCCATGCACATCATGTTCGCCCAATAGCAGAAGTACGATGACAATGGCAGCTGAATCGAGAAGTCCGCTACTCTTAATTTCTTCCTATTCAGTTAAACCAAAGTGATATTGGCAAGTTTATTAAAGCAGCATACCAACAAAAAGATTAGGTCAACGAATTTGGTTAACTGGGTGCATTAGACACTGAAGAGTACAAAAATATCCAAGGTCACCTAGCGCCATCTTAAAGTAAAGAGCAACTAGAGGAACCTTGGGGTAAAAACTTACTCCATCACCTAATTCCCTCGAGAAGACTTAACGATTCCTGAATGCTGTTAAGCAATGCAAGGGTGCTTCGCCTGGGCTGTTTATGTATTCATGCTTAACGAAGAGAGAGGGTGAAGTCAATTTAGGGACAAAATGATGGTAAGATAGCTTCTAATAATCATTAAAGAAATCGGTCAGTTATAATAGATTCCCGATGTTGAACCATCCGAAGTCATGGCCGTGTAGTTACACTACCTTTGCACCTTCCCAAGGAGTGTGGCCTTCAACGACACTATTGGCCTCAAAAGCCCTTTCGCAGGTCATAAATTCATACCTCAGCCCTGTATCACGTCTTCTTTCGTCGTCGTCAAAGGCTTGGAGAGGTTCGCATTCGAAGTAATCAAATAGATCATTTGTGTATTCTTTTGATGTTTTTGGGTGTCTGCTTTCAGACGCACAAAAAGCCACCGCACACTAGGTTATCAGCATCCAACCAACCTGGAAGGGTAACACACCTCTTTCAAGCCTAGGAGACAAAGGCACTGTGATCGCCTAATGGAAGCAGACCAATAGGTCTGACTGGACAAATTTTAATCGTACGTCGCCCGCGCAGACAACGATTCCAAGGCCATAAGCAGGCCGAAATCGGAAACCCAGCTTATTCATCAGGTCACTTCGCACGACCACTTGATTACTTTTAAGCACCTTCCAGACGTTGAGTCACTATGTTGGCGGGCCGCAAAAAGTCAATTGGTCTTGGCAAGTTATAAAAAAACAAAAAATCAACGGTGTTGTTACTATTCTCCGCCATAAGTGTCAAATGAGGAAGCGGCAAACCCGTCCCACCGATAGGTTAATTGCAAACCTCGACTGTCATTTCCCCGTTAAGGTATGCTAAAATTAGGTGTTTAGTGCTAAATATTTATGAATTTGACTGAATGTGTTAAATAATTCCACTTCGTTCAGTCAAATAGCTGTGCTGATTGGAATCAACATATTGGGGTTCTGGTTCAGACCATTGGTAGTTAGTAAGGTATTACTTTGACGGTGCCAGAATTTGTCTGTTCGTGTTGTAAATTCATGTTTTTGATCGATCTGATTAATTCAATAAAACTGTTAATGAAAAGGAAGATGAAAGACTTAAAGAGGCATTCAACAAAGAATATATAAAGCAGATAAAGGGAAGGATAGGTGAAGGTTAACAGAGGAAAAATGACTGAAAGAAGGAGGCATTTACCCAAAGGCATGAGAGACACGTCGACCGACACCATTGACACGCCAATCATTGGTGTAGAGGCCGTCGGGTCGGGCGGAGTGGATGACGATGTACTGCAGATCACGCCAAGTCAATCGCGGATTCGCTGAGAGCGTGAGTGCACAGATGCCCGCGGCCAGAGGTGCGCTCGCTGACGTGCCCGAATGGCTGTCCGTGCAGGTGTGGTTCAGGTCAGTTGTCACCTATACGGTTCACACACACTGCTCAACGGCGTCACTTAAAAGAGCGATGCTGTAAGTTACATGGACCGGTAATGTATTGTACACCAAGTCTACCTTCCTCTCCTTTGGAATGCGTGGAAATACAACGGCATGGGCGATATTGATGGCCATGCTACCACTTCTTTAATTTGAACAAATAGAGGACGAGACGTGTCTTCTTTTCGAGAAAACTCAACCACCGTATTCCGTACACACATTACCTTCCATACAATATTTGAAAAGTTCTTAATTTGTGAGACAACTAAGATGACCTAAGTGCAAAGTGCTCAAGGGGCACGTAGAGGGAGGACACCAATTTGCAACGATGGTGACTATTAATGGAGGAGGCAAACAATTCTCGCTGTCCGCTGTTATCTACGGAAGTTCAAATAAAATTTAGTCGGAGAACGGAGAAACCATTTTAAAAACTATGATGACAATTTTTTTCCTTTCGAAATAATTGTATGACACCGAGATTTTCCAGACAGGAAGTTCCCTTTTTTACCCTTTAAAAAGGACACCTTGAGAAATTAATTAAGCATTCAGCTTTGACGCATTTGTTAAGTTAAAAATTTAAAGTGCGCAAAAGTTTATCAAGAAGTAATTTTTAAAAGTGAAGTTCTAAGGTCGCTGCGACAGAAGCAACCAAAACATGCAAATTCGCTTCAGATGAAGGTTGGTTGTCTGCTGAAGTCCGGAAAAATCTGCCACTTGCTGACGTGGAATATTTTCAACATAAAGTCGCCTCTCTCTGACACCGACTTTGCAGTCAGATAGTTGGATGCCTTCAAAAGGAATCAACAATTATCTTGAAGGTTTGAGTCTTTGTACTGTTCAAAGTTTATTCGAACAAAATTCGCCTCTCTAGCGATTATGAGCCTAGCATTCGCAGCCTGCCAGCTTAAGTTCATTGCGAAACCAAATGTTCCCCAGAGTAAGAATGCTTTAAATTCCAAGTTTCTGTTTGGTTCTCCGAAACAACTTATACGATTAATAAGGGCAATTTGAAAGTAAAAATTGACATTTTCCTTCTCCACCGTCAATACCCGTACCAGTTTCTGTTTAAGCAAGCACATGATCGTCTTATTATGCAAAGAGAATTGTTTTAAAAATGAACATTTAAATTCATAGTTCAGCAATGAGAAAGATGCCTAAGAACGGCGCCCGTTGCTTTGAACTTTGAAGTGAAACTGAGAGTCAGGTATTCATAATTCCTGAATTTCAAAAATGGAGGATACCAGGTTTACCATACGCCTTTTCTAGACATCGGCGACCAACCAGGAAATATGTGCTCCGAGTAACGTTTTCAAAATGTCGTATTTGCCAATAAATCATCTTGAGAATGAGCTTGAAGAGGAGTCGGATGATAAAGCAGGCAGTAGACCTTGCACTCACAAAAATACCTTAGAAGGAGGTGAAACTAGGAGACTAGGTAACTTGGTGCTTATACATGCCTGAAAAGTGAAATGAACAAGAAAATGAGTAATTTCAAAAAAGGTGATTACAAGCGGGAACAGTGTGGATAAGCTATAATTCTTTCCTGGATCACAAGGAAGTCAGCCCCTTAAATGCATAGCAAGAAAGGTTTTAGTATGTCCCTTTACTCCACTGCATATACCTTTCACTTCCAGGTGAAATCAATATGTTTTTTTCCTTCGGGTAATCCTCTAACCAAACTACTTTCGCAACACTATTTCGCTTGTACATCATCTAGTCATTCATTTTCAAAGTCAGAGGAGGTTCAAACTTATGATGAGTATCTTCTGCTATGCAATAAAGCAGAGCAAGGGGAATGTCAAAAGACCACTTCGCACCTCACTTTTTGCCAAAAGGGCATTGGCCCAACTCGACAATCCACGCTACGACATTGGAGACAGTTGCTAAGCTCTAAATTAGGAAAAATTAAGGCGCACGGTAAAACCCCTCCTCGCTTTGCGCAACCTATGCCACTTAGAAAATTTAATGAATATTCGACGCCTCACGTTGAGACGACCACTAGATTGAGAAAGAGAATTAGGAAGGAGTCGGCTACCTTAAAAATTAATGGTGCCCAAGAGAGCCGATTCGATTACTCCGTTCTAAACTAAATCTCTCCGTGAAAAACGCTAAAAAACGAGAAAAGAAGGGGACAGTAAGAATGATGTTTATGGAATTTGACACTGAGTAATCAAAATACGAGTATTAAAATCTCAAAATGATTTATTTACACGGTCGCCCAAAACTTACTACGGACGCTGGACATCTGCCAAGTATGCTAGGAGGAAGCTGCACACAAACCTAGGGGTTAACAGAATAACAGTTGAACGTATGGCAATCTCTAGAAGGTGGTGCGGCTAGCGACCGTTACCGTTCATTTTTTACTTGTTAATATTCTTGGACTTTCAAGAAATTCGAGCAAACTCGTGAGTTCTGACTAAGTGATGCGAAATCATAAGAAGTGAAAAATCAACACCTTAAAACAGTAACAAAAGAATTAATAACATGACCACCTGGCAACCTCGCTGGTCCATAATTTTTTCGCCTTAACCTACTGTTAAATGGTCGGCTTTTGACAGGAGCGAAAGAAATGTGAGAAAAAAAGTAGAGGTATGCAATAGTGCCATAACTGGCCTTCGGGGGTGCCGCACTTCTGATAAATTTCTTACCTTCCTATTAAGCATTCCTGCGTGTGTGCGTGCGTGTGTGAGAACCCGAGCCAAGGCACTCACAGGCATGATAGAGAAAGAGCGCATCCACTCCAATTTTCGGTGCGAGAAGCTGGTGCCGCTATACATACTGCTCACTTTAGGTGAAAGCGTTTCAGAATTTTACTCAATGAAATCAAATGATTTGAATGATTGACAGACGAAACTTGCCTTCCACCCTCCAATAGAAAGCACGGTTCTTTAAGGAAGTATTCAAAAGTTATCTCAGTTATAAGGAAAATTGTGACCGTGATGATAGTGCTGATACAGTGTCAACTAGTTTGTTCGCAGAAGCGGGCATGAATTATTGATGGTTTCATTGTAAGCACTGTTTTCCTCGGTCCTCATGATCTGTGTGGCGGTGGATCAGACAGTTGTCTCGGATATTTAGACCTAGTGAACCCCAAGTCCATCACAGTCGTAGACCCATCAGCCTAACAAAGTCATTTTATAAATACTCAAAGAGCACACAAATTTTTCCTTTACCACGACCCAATACAATGCAATACATGAGTAAAAATAAAATCTATTTACAACACTAACCTTCAGTTCGGCACAAGTAAATAAGGTAGAGGAACGAATGAATCCGCAACTGACTGGAAATAAATGTCCTTTCAGAGGAACATGGTACTGCCAACTATATTAAAAATTGCAACGAAAAAAGATTGACAAAGTTCCAACTGTTCGACAACCGAATGAGGTCGTCCATGAGCTAGTCAGATGTGAAGCATACCTTGTCGTCATTTGCTATCGCAACATAAATGCAAACTTTTCCCATGACAAGTTACAGTTATTTTTGATGAGAAGTCGACTACATACGGACATCTCAAATCTGAACCAAACGCAGACTTTGTATCCCGATTCGATGATCCTAACCCGATCTTGACAAAATCCAAGATGATTACAATACGTAGCTTTTAAATGCAACCAAATGGAGTGGACGAGGCGGCAGTAAAGTAAGTAAGCTGCCCAAAGTATCTTCCAAAGGAATTGTGTTGATTGCCTTACAGACACCGATGCTAGCATTCAAGCACGAGGTGGAGCCAGAAATTCTATGTCGGTGAAGGATTTGCCATATTCACTAAGTCCTACATCGACCGAATGTTGTTTCTTCGATGAGTACAATGGTCACTACCAAATACTGCCAATCACTGCGCTATGGCTGCACAAATTTTCGCCTGGAGTGACAAAACTGTTGTGAGCATGAAATACACAGCCAAGTTTGAAGTTTCTCAACTGGTGCTTCCTTGGGAGTCAGTTATGAATTTAACGTATTGCCAACTCTGAGGCGACATAAATGGGATATTTGTAATGCTTTGACCTCGCCTGGTAGCTAACATCATCTTTAAATTTAAATGAGGACGATTTGAAGTTGGAGCGCAGGGTGAGGCGATAGCACCTTTTCAAGCCCGAAGCAGAAAGGGAATTTTCTCCATTTAAAAACAGAAAGGAAGGACTGAACTTCGAACTCATGATTACTAAAAAAACGCAATTCTAGCCGCAGCATTGAAGCAATCATCACGCACAGTAATTAAGTGGGAAATGATTTAAGCTTCGGGGTTGAACGGCCTTGAATGGGTGTCATATGAAACCAAAGAAGGGGGTTATTTATTTCAGCCGCAGAACGGAAACAAAGGAAATATGAAGCAACATTACACAAGGTGACTATATCGCCGTCGAATGATGGATGGACAAGCGAATTAAAGGAGCAAGTAAATGAATGAATGAATGAGCAGATAAATGAGTCATCTTGTGTGATACAGGGAAAGGAACAAGTGGACTTACCACACCCTTTTCACCCTGCCCACCGCTGCTGTAGGTGACAGCGAGAGTGGAAGAACAAGTCTCTGCGTACCACGGAATCGTGCCGTGCTCTGAGGCTGAGCTCACCCCCAGCGTATAGATACTGTTTGTATAGCCGTCGCAATTGCAGTTGTCGTCATACTTCCCGCCATTCCCACTCGCCCACACAAATATAGAACCAAGACCGCCCCGACCCTGGTGATGGTATAGCAGAGAGAAAAGGCAAGTTTAGCTAATTCAATGTCAGTAAAATCAGACAGGAAAATGTCTTAGAAGCAATGCATTGAAATTAATAAAGAAAAAATCGCAATATGGCATTGTTTTTTTAATGTTCACCACCACGTTAATTATCGGTGGCGAGTATATGCAAGTCACTGATTTTCTCGCCCAGGATCTACGCCACTAACCCGTATCGGAACTGGATTGGTTGGGTAGCATGCTCCGAATTTTACGATAATGGACCTTTTAGTTCTAAGCTATTTCTGCGTTGCCTGAAAGAAATGAAGACAATTAATTTTACGGCATGAAAAATCAAACTGTGGTGCTCAACGATCGTCTGAGATGCTACCAAATAACACCAATGCCATTGAAAATATTGGCTTTACTGCGGCCCACGCTTCGCACTAAGGAGCCAGTATTGTAGAAGTAAACATAAAAGTCTGTGCATCCCTTAAGTGAGGCATTGAGCCTCCCGGGAGGAGAACAATCATGGATGGTAAGGGTGTCCAAGTTTTTTTAATATATGGTTCAATGGTTTACAAACACACGATTTCATCCATTAGTATCCATTGATGTGTGAATTTGGCCTATTATCATTATCAAGTAGACCAATACCAGCATAAACAAATAAGCAGAAGAAAATTAACCAGTAGTATTTACACGATATCTGTTCGCATTCGAAAACATACAATGATGTGCCTTAACCTATTCATTTTCAAGCTCGCAAGTCAATTATTCTAAACTTTTGACAACTGTTAAAGTTTACCAGAATCACTTCAAACACACTTTTTGAAACAATCTTAAACTATGCAACTATTCTGGCCACGTATCGACAACCAAAAAACTGAGAGATTCGTTGTCGAGCAACCAATACGGTACAGACTGGTCAGCGCGAAAATTAGTTGCTTAGGTGAGGAGACCATCACCTGTGTGATCGAATCCGCCTCTCACAAATGACTAAACCTTGAGGAGAGACCGAAGTGATGACCAGCGAGGTGAAGGAAGTTATGATTGGCCCAAACTACAGAAAAGTCATTCAGTAAGTTACATCCGTGAAGCTTACAGGATTTCCCATGCCATGCATTGCGAAAGAATAGCAAGTGCTTTTGCCACCGATTTATAGCAAGTGCTTTGCATCAGGCAATTCAGATAGTGAAAAATCACTTCAATTCGTTTGACGTGCAAAGATCAAACTCGTAGACAACAGCAAATAAAGAATGAGTTTAAGTAATGAAGTTTAATCCTCGGATCCGGTTTCCTGGGCATGAGAAGTACAATTAAATACCTCCAATTCCAAAGGGACCTGTAAAATGAACTGCAAAGTTCTGACCGTTACAGTATGAAGCACACCTTGATCAGGCTGCTGTGCTGCTTGCCATAGGGGAAGTAAATAACACTTATCTCCAGCCTCGATAAGTTACGGGCAAAATGGCAGCTAACGTAATTCCAACATTTAGCAGAAATAGACCAGTAGATTTCTCCATGACGATGAGTTGTTTCAACTGGAATTACTTAATCGTATTTTTGATGGGATGAAAAGAGGCGCTGTTGTACTTTCCACTTTGGAGAGCTAATGAGCCTCACTGATGAGTAGCATAACCCTTAAACTTGATTGGTTGTAATCTGCCGAAGCGGAAAGTATTACTGCTCTCGATCAAGTCTGAAAAAACAAAACGATTCGTCGAATTTTCACAAGCCCTCATAATTATGTGACTTTTTGTTGTGTTGAAGGAAAGATCAGAAGAAAACATGAGAGTACGACACAATTATAAACCTTTTCGAGGGTTGACATAGCTGATATTTTGCCATGACTGGCCTTGGATTTTCTTCACTCAACTTCATCTCGCCGGCCTTGCTTTTAATCTAACCGTCTATATACCTTTAATTAATTCCATAAAAGAGCATCGAAACACCTGAATTTCAAGATATACATTACTTAACACTAATAAGGGAGCATTCTGAGTCGGTAACCCAGTTAGGGGGCTGAGTAACCAAAAGAAGCTCACCAGCTTTAATGACGTCCTGTAAATACGAGGCATGTCAAACTAGCATTGTTACTAGCGGGAAACAATTACTGAATATGGTTGGCAATTCTTCGCTAAGCCATCTACAAAAATTAAATGGAGAGACGACCCCACACAAAACACCTCAGTTGAGTTTGTTCCATAGGCAGTCTGCACTTAACGTGGTTATAGCAGATGATTACTGCGTAGTTTGCTGCGTAAAATGGTTGGGCAGCAAGCACGAAGCCAAGCATTTGATAACCGAATTAAAAACAAACAATCCACTCGTATTGAAAACTTAGTTTGCCATACATCTCGTTGGCTATGGGGTTATCCAGATAATATGACTTTCCTGCCAACAATGAACGTCTTTCGTGATTAAATCCTTCCCAACCTCTCCCCATGTCTCCTCACAATGATCTATGCAAGCGAGATTCACGTATGATAATTCAGGCACGTGGATGAGCTTTGACAATGATCTAAAGGGCCTGGGAATGGCGAATTAAGAATTAATCTTAGACGCTCGATTAGATGGATGAAAACAAGAAGCGATCAAATGACCATGTTAAGGAAGAATGTAAAGGAATTGATGCAGTGCAGACCTTCAGGATTCCATTACGAAAAGCGATTCGTGCAAGTTTGCCAGGTCCATCAACAGTGCGTCCATCATCTTCAGGTCCCCAGCTGGCAGAGTATACGTCGATATGCTGGAGATTATGACCCAGCGACCGCGATTCCATAGCGTCCGTCACATCGCCATCAAGCATCCGCACACCACCAATGCGCGCTTTGAAGGCGATGCCCAAGCCGCAGATACTGTTGTTCGCCGCAGCTGCAACCTCCCCTGCGCAACGTGTTCCATGGCGGCTGGAGATGAAAGCAAATAGCCTTAGCGTCAAGATCGTCCCGTTTCTAATGGACTTTCCAAATAATCTTGGAGAGTCTACGTGCGATAGTCGCATTGAACTTAGTGGTGCGATTCTCTGTTATCGAAATTGCAATGTATGTGAAATGGCTACAGTGCTTCTATCCAACGAAATAGCATTGCAAAGATAATGAAAGTTGGACGCAACAGAGGCGAAAACTTGATTACTAACGCCATTGTAAGTAATCTCTGAGGGCATTATGAGGCTCAATAATAACAAAGATGTGTTATCAGGGCGCAAGGCGAGTAGAAACATGGACGAGATCAGAAGGCATGCTGCTAAGCATGGCGCTGAAATAATGGCAACAGATAAACCCAAGTTGTTGTGCAGAAAAAGTTAGTCTCACTTTGTTGCACATTGATAGCATTACAAAACAAATCATATCCGTCTTATGCCTTCTGGGTTAAGAGAGAATTGCAGTGAGGGAACGGTGTATGACCGAATCCTCAGCCGTATCTCCTGAGTGGAAATTAGTTTGACTAGGTTAGAAAAGAAACACAGAATTCTATCGAAATTAACAAACCGCATCGTGGCTAATGGAATCGAGAATCCATGGTAGGATTGCATCCCATTACCTTCAATCCTTTACTAAGTGTGATATCATAACAACTAATTAATAAAGTGATCGGTGGAACGAAAGAACTAGAATTACCCGAGGAGCCATGCAGCAGAATGAGAGTTGTTTTAAATCTCGTAACAGAGTGGAAACGTTGGGAGCGGGATGAAAAGTTCAGTCATCGTTGAGTTTTATTCTTGCCTTCATCTAGCCAAAATACTACCAAAATCGAGAACTTTGTGTCATTGCATGCATTAACCTTATTGCCCTCCTTTTCGACTCATGGGTGGTGGATATACAGCCTGACTATCGTGGTGACGGACAGGCGTATAAACTGCAAGCTCCGAGGTCCAGGCAGTACTCTCATGGTGGCTCTAATTACGCACCGCATTTTACAGTCGTGCTAATTCACCACCTATTTTAACACGTGTGTGTACTTTGCCACTCCACAAAACTAGACTTGACTCCTGCACCTTCGGCAGGAATGGCTCGAGTGCTAGTACCAGTTACCCTGTAATGGGCAGACAGAGGTATGCACCACCTTGTTGCATAACTAAAAAATCGTTGGAAGTTTGACGGTATTCCTTTGTCACTGATCCGTAGCACCTGGTACACGTATTCCTATGACCTAAAATACCACAGTCCGGTGTTTACCTTCTAAAATAAGAAGTATCGGTTAATGCTAGCTCAAGACAACAGACAGCAATTTTGAAGTTTGACATTTACAACTACGCCTCATAAGACATTGGCTATTTCCAGTTGATAAGGTCTGTAAATGGTGTTCTTCCATAAATAAGAATCTGACCAACTCGCATATTAACCTATAGGAACTTACGATTTCATTTATTGAGGAGATTTATTATTGTATGCCTTCGCCAAAGCATTGGGATGTCAAATGTCTTTTTGTAAACAAAGCAAAATGAAGGATTCCGTACGAGCAGGGGGTATACACGTTCCCTTCCGAGACCACTGTACGGACCTACAACCTGTCCTCAGATTATAAACGTCGACAAGGCGAAAAGTGTAAGCTCGTTATATTGTCAATTACAAACATCAGAATAGGGTGTAAAGTGTCAGAGGCAATCTAAATACCAATTTCAAACATCACCTTTGGTTTAATGATTGGCAAATTCAACATTCCCTAAAGCCTAGAATGTAGTGTCCCAGAAATCCAATTTTTCGGCGGAATATTCTGCCGCTGCACAGAGCACTCCCATCCAAAATTTTAGTAGCTTTAGTTAACTCCATGCCTGACAAGAGGACAGAGAGTAGCATATCCACATTATGGCTAGTGGCTTAACAAAGCATTACCTCAGAAAGCGAGAAGGACCATCTAAGGAATTAGCGACTTGAAAGTCTTGGAGTTGAGGCAGTGTACTAGTAGTAATGTGTACCCTAGACTTGAGGTGAGTGCCACCATGACATTGAGCCTGCAATGCAGCCTTCAGGTCAGTCGTTTAGTCTCATACTTGTGAGGTCACCTAGATTTTTCGCAGGAATGTAACCAACCTCGCACAGCTCTATTCATGCATACTTGCACACATCAGTACGTTCCCAAATGGAATCGCGATGTCACTCCATCCTGCGACGATACCAAGGTTGAAAAAATAAACGGAGGTCAATAAGCGTGAAAAACGCTCGTGTCAAAAGTGATATTTCAGGTTAAATAACAATGTCTAGTCCATACCTTGTCAAAAACAAACAACCTAAGCAGATATGTGTAGCCAGAAACAGGTGTTTAGTAATTCAAGAAACATCTCACTTTAAATTGTTACAAGAGATCGTAGAAATGGCACCCTTTCCAACTAAAGGCACTTTTGTGCGTCATCAAAATTTCGATATTTCACTCATTTGCACGACTGATCCAGTCACGCAAAGCTTACCGAAAACATCTCCGCTCCTTTTACTCACACCCGCTGCAATTCCCCATCCTCCATGCTGAGGATAGTAGCTGTGCGGTGAATGCGTCTGATGAGCAGTACTTTGCTAAACTTGTCGAACTTCAGAAATGCGAAAATAATTATGTTGAAAAAAGGGCTTTCATTCCAATGGTAAGGTAGGAGTTGATGATGCTAATATTTCAAAAATCCGAAATGTATGACCAGCAATATACCGAAATTCCCATGGTGTAGTGTTATGATAAAGCTGCGTTATTGGTTCAATACCAAGTAGTCGACCTTCCAAAGTAGTCGAAAAAGTCATTCCCAATCCCCTAGGTGGCACCAATTTGGAGGTTAATTTTAAAATAGGGATAGAATGTGGTTCGAGAGATGGGAGAACTAAGTAATTCAGCCTTACCGTAGATTCACAAATCAAAAATCCGTTTGAAATTTAAGATGAGCCAGTGCTAACTGGGATCGTATGAAAATTTGAAGCTCCTTCGTGTGAGCTTAGATTCTGCACGCATTTACTGAAACAATGCTATGCCTTTCCGAATCGTGGCCTCCAAGATCTGCACACGCACAATTGGCTATAGAGCGAGTAAAACTCAGATTTTCGACGACTGCTTTATGGCTTTAATTTTTGAAACGTTCGAATTGGTGAGAGGAATCATCATACCTATAGCCATTTAAGCGTTACAGGCGAAAGTGCAAATCTTGCCCCACCATGGACACAATAAAATAGGGCAGAACGGTGCCAAAACCCCCATTTACATCGCGTTAAAAGGTCGCCGATACGACGCGGGACATCGCATAGGTAGCGTCATAGAAACCAGTTTTGCATATCTAGGGTCATCAGGTGCAGCCTCAGCTGGTGAGGCTGGAAATGCCATTCTTCGCAGTACGTCCGTGTTCCTTGAACGCAATAAAATGCATGCGAACATGCCCATGAATTTGGAGCATAAAAAAGTGACAGATGTGCTGGAGGGGGATGTGAATGAATTAATATTTTGTAGAAGCGGTCAGGTCGGACGTGTCCCATGTGGACACAACGATGGAATCGATGGCCACACTTGGAAATATTTATGAAGAGCAATTAATTCACCGTCACTTGCTCTAGTGAGTCTAAGCCTGGTCAAATTCATTTCCTTCAAGCCGCGTTGCTGCATCAAGGCTGCACAACAATACATAGAAGACGAAATCTAGTTCTGACCTTTAAATCCTATCCCATTGACTGGAAATCGAAAAATAATGAAGGAGTAAAAGGTTGATGTTTTAAACTTCAGTTTAGCAAATGTGCTTTTGGGTATCTAAGAGCAAAGTGTAACTACTTCATTCGACTAAACTCAAACAAAGGAGCCGTAAGAACGGGCAGCGCCAACAAAATAGCGTAACAAGCTGTCAGTAAAATAACGTCTACCCTACTACATGAAACCTTCGAGAGTAAGAGCCACCAAAGCCCAGATTGGATGCCCGTGAGGAGGGAGTGCGAATTACCCCCAGGAGGAACACAGATATCAAGCTCTTCCCATAGCCTATATTAGCTAAAAACCCGATACCTGAGATTTCAATGGCCGATAAAGGTTAATTTGAGGCCGAATTAGGTCATGTTAAGGTCAAAGGTTCAAGTGTAGCCATGATCGGGCTGCAGTAATTATGTCAAAGGCACGATATCATCCAGCTAGAATTAGCCGACTACTCACTTGATGTTCCGAAAATCGCGCTCCACATAACGCGGGTCGGGATTCTCGTCGTTGCTATTGACGTCGAACGAGGCACGCTTGTCCTAAAAAGGAGAGAATTTAAGTCACCTTTTTTGATTTTGTGATCTCGAAGAGTGAAATGTTATTAATGGTAAGGATTGCTTTTCCTTCGCAGATCACGGCAGATATCGTGATAGCGCCGCATAAACATAATGACGCCACGCAATGCCGACAGCCAGGCAAGGCCATGTGCGTGAATTCTCCTGCCTAGCAGGATTATACGATGAAGTGTATTTCAAACTTTTTTCAGCCTTCGAAATTAACAGAATTTTGAACCTGCAAACTTCTACGACCGACGTAAAACGAATGAGTACATCATTCATGCAGCCACTGCCGCGATTCAAATTTCCTGAATTAAAAGTAACCAAGAAGTGAACCACCGAAGCCATTTACGATTAGTTGTCCTAATTCGCGCAGTTCAAGCAAGTCAACACTTTCGTCTGAGGAATATTTAGTCTCCAAGAGATTTTGGGTTTAAATGATCATCGAAAAATACTTTTATCGGAGGTATTTGAGGGGATCATCGCCTCTTTAACAAGAATTTTGCACCACCGCTCGGTGAGTCATTTTAGGCAACATCTCAGTTTAAAAACATCTTTCATGGGGTATGAAAGTGGCAGCTCCTTGAGTCCACTCATTCGCTCTTCCCCTTCAACTCACAAAAGACTGTAAAACAAACCTCAGCTTTTCTAAAACGACTAGTAATCCCCCCAAAAAACAGTTATTAAGACTTCAAAAGGGAGTGAATGGAAACAATAATACTCAATGCCAATAAAAGCAGGTTCAACTCTCCAACGGCTAGAAGATTGCCTAGCCAGTTATTCAGTAGAGTAAGAAGAATCTCATAAGGCTGGTGAGAGAGCTAGAGGATTTGCACAGCAGGGTGATGCATGAACCTGAGGCCCTTTCGAGGTCATATTCTCGCCTAGAGGTTACCGAGATCCGAGAACCTATGGGGATATGCAGTAGTGCTTATGGTCTTGAAGAGCCTAAAGGAGGCTACTGCATTGAGCACTTCGTTTTCGACGCAGTTTTCGTTGGTAAATGAGAAGAATTCATGGGAAAAAGGTGGATCCCAAGAAATAAAACAGTTAGATTACTGAGTTTAATGGCAGTCTATTCAAAGTCGGATGCTTCAGTATATGAAAAAAATGCGGAACTTTATGGGCTTAGTCACCTAGGTAACGATGATGTTATAAAAGAACGAATGTGATTAAAAGACAAGAGAGGTGTTATGTTTATCTGCCGCATTGTCCCCACTCTTACCCCTTCTATTTCCTCCTTGCATCTGTCCACCAGAAGAGCGTTGTAAGCTGGAGAACTATACAAAGGGCACGGATAGATTCAGCTGATAATTTATAACACCGTAATCCTAAGATGGGTTACAGAGACGGGCATTCTGCGGATTAGATTTTTTAAACTTGCTAAAGGACATTCCAGCCTAGTGCACATTTCCAGACATGACAAATCGCACTAGCCTATCGTAACGGGAATCCACCGCAGAAAACCGGGGAGCAGACCAGGCAAAACTGCCATGCAAACCAAATTTAAAAATACATGTTTGTCTGGAAATGTGAGGAATCGCGCAGAAACAAGAGGCTATAAAAAATCTCTGTTGTAATGCGTGAATATGAGAAGATTACATTAACCCAAACCCACTCTGATGGTTTGTTATGATTCACCTTGGTGAGGAGACAGGAAGGAATAGGGTTCTTAAAGTAATGCGCTGGGACAGTGTGTTTGTCTCAGTTTAACACCACCAGTTTAGCACATACAGGTTTCGATCACCGTTTTGGTGACGTTTGTTTCATATACAACAAGCAAACGACTCTCCTGTGTCTATAAATTATTCATCAGATCACAACGACAGGAATGACTTGGGCACTAATGTTCCCCTGGCTGCAGTTGTTCGCCTGAATCCACTTTCTCCCCTCTTCTTGCCTGCTTACTTCTGACATCACTAGAAGACCATCAACAATGCTAGTCTCTGGGGCTGATATCATGATCTCAACCCATACGTCTTGACCTGACATGAATGCTGCAGAAGCGCAACATCCTATTCAGGCCACTACTTAACATGTATTCGTAGCTTACTTCGTAAATTTTGAAATCACCCTCAACAAGACTTAACTTCAACGATGAAATATTACACTGATCACGTTTGATTAGTGAAAAAAGAAGACAAAACTCATATTCCAGAAAAAGCCCTGGTTCAATGAAGTGTCCATCCAGCAGTAAAATTGGGAAGCGTTTTTCACTAAAGTCCAAATTTGGACAAATTGATAACCGCTTATTTAATGCGTGACTGCGTACTGAAAGAGCGACCGAAATGCTAAAGTGTGCAAGATAGCACTTTATTTCAAACGCCTGCGAGGTGCTACCCGCGGTGCTAGGACGTTAGGGCAGGAGGAGACGAGGAACGGCTGTGACATTTGAGACAAAGGCAGGTGTCTAGGTTTAACCTGGCTAGGGATTTTGACGAGGGCCATTACCATATACAGTGAGAACTTTGGGGAAGGTATCAAAACCCAGGAGCGGAGAGAAAGATTATCTCTCTCGCGCCGGTTGGGTCGATAGCTGCCTATACATAGCGAGCCCATTTACAACATACTTAAGGGGTAGGCACAACAATCTCAGTTTTGTGGGTGCTCATGGAGAGTGATAATGGATACTGGAATGAAAAGCTATGAAAGACAAGAAATGGACATCAATTTGGCTAATCGTTGACAAAGTAGGTGATCTGCCATTGCCACGTCTTGATGAAAGATCGTGCCAGTAAGTGCCCAGAAGGGCTAATGCAACGTCTAGCAAGACACTTACACGAACTACAATAAACATCAGTGTACGCAAAGCAATGCAGAGAGAATTCTCGCCCCTCATTCCTCCTCAGAAGCTAATAAAATTGCATAAACCGAGGCCTCATATAATTGCTCTTAAATGAGCAAAATTTTCGAAAATATTCGGCTGGAACAGTAATTACGAACACAGGGAACAGGTATCTGTTCTTAATATTCAAAGAAATCTACAGTTAAATTTATTAAATGCTTTTCTCCAGTAAATAGCAACTATTAATCGGCATCCCTCCAGAGGTTCTTTGTGGAAGAATGTTTAAGTAAAACAATTCCCACCAGCCCGGCTCCCAAACTCAGGTAGTGGAACGGAAAAATTGCATTAAAATAATTGTCACAAGTCAATGCTTCCTCCAACATGGCAGATGGAACCAGTGACTGCGGCGCGATATTTAGCACTTTTCCTTATTTTACCATACGTACCTTGACACCATTGATTCATGATACCGTAGTGATGATATGGAATTCAACTCTTACGCGCAATGCGGTTACCTCCAGGCTGGTGTACCTCGAGATAGACCTCAGAGTGACTGCAAGTCAAAACCGCGATTTCAAACGGACAAAAAGGGAAAATTCAATTCAGTTCGTTAAAATAACAACACTTCGAGAGTCATACAATAATCGTACGAGTGATCGATTACACTGAAAATTTTAAGGAACTTACGTAGTTAGGTTTGAGATCGGGATGATCTGTTTCAAGTCCGTCGTCAAGAATGGTCACCACAACGCCTTGGCCAGCATAGCCTCGCGCCCATACTGCACGAACATTCATGTCGATGCCGCCTGGTCCACCCCGGTTCTTAATGGCAAACAACACATTCCAAGTCTTCGCAGTTCTTGTTATCGTTCGCTTAAGTAGCCTACGGAATTGCCCTACGTATTGCGCGAAATCGGACCACTTCAAACAAGAAGGAGCAGTGGGCAATTAAAATTGGGCAACAAAAGCACACCCTGGTTACAGTTTGATACACCCAATCCTGTAAACAGACCAAGCTGTGTATGGGCACAGTTTATGGTAGCAATAAAGCCGAAGGTAATGGTTGGCTCATTCATGAAAGCGTGAATTGATTGAGATAAAGTAGGCAACAGTTGAGAATTTGAAATAGGTGGCCGTTTTTCATTTTTGATCCCAAAGAAAAAGTAGCTAGTGCTCAAAGGTATTGCTCTGCCATATCTCCTGGTTTAAATAGCATGTTTACTTTAAAAATGCAAAGTTTTCGGTTATTGTAAAACCAGTTTCATTCGACTTGTACCAATACCTCAAAGGCTCATTTTACTTGGTCATCATTTCCAACAAAGAGGAATTGTACTTAAACCTTTAACATAGAGAAGCTAATATGTTATTAATTAAAAGGCAAGCAGATACCAGCAACTTTATTAAAGGCTATGTTCACAAATGAATCTTCAAGTGGTATAGAAGAACAGAACTGAAGCATCAAAGGACTTACACTTTTAAATCAACCTTAAAAGCAAAGCAATTTAAGCGCCTTGTTTACGTTAGAAAAAAGGGGTTTAAATTCAACTTCGAATCAACTCACGGTAATATGAATAGGTCCCTTGCGAAATCCCTACATCTAGGCCTTCAGGTTAACTCAAGGAATAAATTTTGAAGCTAATGTTTCTAGTTTGTGAAACTATTCCAACAAGCTCGAAATCGATTGAACCAGAATTCTACATTGCACGCTCAAAGGACCGGCAATCGAATGCAGCAAATGACTGGATATGCCCTTCCTCCAAAACGGCGTAAATGAAATACCCACATGTAAAAGTGCATCTCTCATGAAGGCAAGAGAAGCCAGAAAGGCTTTGCCTACTTTAAAGCGGACCTTTTGATTGTAACCAAGGTGAGAGACCCTGTGGTTCTCCGCCGGAACAGGGAAGTGTGACTTGTTATTCAATCAAATATGAATTTCCACTTTTTGATGCTTCGCTTAGGATGTAAATAATCCATTGAGAGGGTTGCGTCAAGGAGTAGCCGAAAATATGTTCCGAGAAAAAATTGCGAGACAGAGAAGACGAGAAGATGAAGTCACACTGTGGTTTAAAAAACCTGTTGAAAGAAAATTTAGTCCGCAAACCTCATTGCGACTAACCGACAAGCCCTACTTAATCAAAATGTCGGTCTTATAAACAGGATTGGAATAAATAAACTGCTTGCAAAGTAGAAAACTAACGTCAAGTCTACAACTTAGAGCCCGGAAAGTATGGTATAACTCGAGGAAATGAGTAGAGGGAATAAGATTACTCAAATTGGGCAAGAACGATTCTTTCGAGTTACAGTCAAGTGGTAAAGCTCCATTTGCAGTATTATTTCGAGATGGATCTTTTCCCATTCTTTTGCATGATGATTAAGTCATTCGTCAAGATCTGTCAACTGAAAATGCATCAATGTGTTGGAAGTACAATCTTCTGCAAACCGAGGCAGATTGTGAAAAGATTAAGACATTTGCAGTCAGAATCTACTTTACCGGAGCAGTAGTCGCATGATCTTGGGAATTCATGGAGAGGCAAGTAATTTATGGTACTTTTATGACAATAAAGTTGTTTATCTTACTCAAATCTGAAGTCCCTCCACTAACTACATCTTCAAATTGGCCTGGGCTATCGATTGACTACGCACGTTTGAACAGAACACCAAACTTGGATTTAATTACCAATCAATTCCTCGATCGATATCCAGGTTCTCGAATGGAGTCGGCGTAAAAGCACGCTAGGAGCGCTTGTGCTGTCCTCGTTGACACTGTCCTACAACCCAGCCAATGATGTTTATCAAAGTTCCTTTCACTTTAAATGCTTCCCCTTCTCTAGACAACAAGTATAGACGGGATTTGCATGAATTTGGGGACGCTGCCAAAAGAAAACTTGTTAGCCGGTCGAAAAATTAGCGTCTAATTACTGACGTGCAATGAACCATTCCAAAAAAAATTGATCACAGTCTCTCAAATGGTGAAGAAGGGAGGGGAGGGAAAGAGAGTCAGAGAGGTACTAATCCAAGCGTTGACATAATTTGGACATGGAAAGGTGATAAAGGGGTGACAAAGGACGGGTGGTATGACTGTGGCTGTACCCACACCAGTGAGAGTGAGTCATTGGGTAAAACTCAAATTCAGACAACGAAGGGGGGATGACGAACAAAAGTCGAGACAAAGGTTCGTACGTGTGCCCTCGCGCATGCGTGCTAGTATCACCTCTAAAAGAGGTGCACATCCATTGTGGACATGCACTTTTAGCTAGGTCATTTCAAACCATCATTTCGATCCCTTTTCCAGACCGTAAAGGCAAAAATTAGTAGGTGACTTACCAAATACCACATCCGGGGCCAGCTGGGATCGTTTGGCGGTGGTTGGTGGTAAACATCGCGTTTTACTCGAACCTTTGCCACTTGTTGCTCTGCCCAACGAACCTGTGAATAGAGAACGCTTGTCAGACTACCTTTGAACGGCAACGCTTTCATCCCACTAATCAGTAGGTGTGAGTAATCCCCAAAAGCAACTTAGAAGCAGGACCCACACCTACAACTAAGTAGATAGAAATCGGTGGTTTTACAAGCCTAGGAAGACCAATAACAAACGATAATAGGCCTCAGGTGGCAAAGAGGAGGTTGCATTACGAAAAGGGATGGTAGCAGTGGATAAAATTACTACCTAGCTGTTTGACATGGGCGAAACTTCCACGTTATTATAATGATAAAAATGAGCAGGGTTAAGCAATTACAGATGCTCAAGTGGGTTCGGGGAGAGTTCATTGGGTAACAGTAGGTAAGTGCAGTCGATTCAAAAAGGCTGATTTCGAGGAGTCAGAATCAGCGCCGTGAGCAAGATACGGAAAAAGCACAGCCTCAAGCCCGCCTTTTGAGTGATTAAGCCAATAACCGAACCGGAATGGACACTTAATTTCAACACATCGAGCTAGATCTGTAGATTAAGCCATAGGAACCTTTGAAGGGAGTGGAATGATCACGTGAAACTACTGGCAGGAAGTAAAGCCGCACACGGCGAGCAAATATGATCACTTTTGAAAGGCGTTTAGGGGTGGAAAATTGAAAACTTTCGCAAGAGTAGAGGCCCAAAAACGGGCTACTCACCGCCATCACTCAAGAAACGGAGGTGGAGGGTGCGTGTGCACCCTTCTCACCTCATTTGATGGGGGAAGAACACACCGTCCGAGTGAACATTATATTGGCGTTTCTTTGTCTCCAAATAAAATACTGAAGGCAGAAACCCAGTGAATTCCGAAATCTAAACACAAGAACAACTAGCTCGCCACAACTATCTCCAAATCACTTAACAATAGAACCATTATGCAATTTCAAAACATGGAAAATTTGAAAGAAAGCCTTTCGGAATAGGAGGAATGAACCGAGAGAAATTTCAACCTCACCTGGTACCATTCACTGAGGATAGGATGCAATAATTACGTCTAAAATAGGCCTTCCAATTCATCTGTAAGCTGAGGTCATGAAATTTAAAATTCGCTCCACGGGTTTACAAAATGAGACAGAGAGTGCACCCTTGCTACATCTTTCTGAAAATTTCGTAAAGAAGAAGACGCATTCACATAATTCTGATGGGACAATACCTCAGAAGGAATTGGAACATGCGAGTTAACCTTGTTCCTTTTAGATATCTTAGAATCAGGCTTCTATCGATCTGCGAGAGGCAAGGAAATGCCTCCATCTCATTCAATGAGAAGGAGACGATAAAATGTTTATTTCATTGCCACTACTCACATGCAGTGGACCAAAACCAGTTCTTATTCAGGAGATAGGACAATAGAGAAGGACCTTTGCTCCCCTCCAAAATGCATCCAACAGCGTGATCCAACTTGATACTACGCAACGTGTGAATTCGCGCTAGCAGTTAAACCAATACAAGCAACATTTCACCGCATTTTGTCTTCTAGGTGTACCATTTGTTACGGAAAAGGCGGTAGGTGGGATTTTGCATACAAGTGTTTACTCGAGGGCGACAAAACACAACTTTATAGATTCGATGAGCTGGACACAAGAGGTTTAGATGACAATGCTCTGCTGCCTCTCATAAAAAAAACAGACTGGCAAAAAGATGACCAATCCTCTGCAAAGTTCGAGGACGAGGGCGAAGAGTAGAGTAAATTACATTCCCGGATCAAAGGGCTGTTTGTGCTTGACAATCCGATCACATCTTGGCGGCAAGCGTGCAGTGTTAAGCATCAAAATTAGGCAAACCGGTCATGTTTTGCACGATTATAGAGGAAGCTGAAAATACTAGCCTGATGCTGCTAAATGGGGTGCACACAAACACCCGGGAGACTAATAACGAATACATGAATTGTTTTACGATTTCAAATGAACATGTGAACTTCTCCTGCCCACACTTCTATCATAACATCCAAATAGCTATGAGTTAGGCAAGTGAAACGGAAAGGAGGTACAAGCACATAGGCAAGGTAAGAAAACCGGCTATGCATCTAGGCACGAATTGACGGAAAATATGGTTAGAACACGAAATTAATCTGTTACAAGGGAATCGCATATTGTTAAACAAGCGAACTTCTAAAACAGCTGTGGAAGGGCAAGAGACTATGTAACAGAGCAACGTTGCAACCTCAAATACGAATAATTGAGCTTATGAGCTTCCAGTAATACAAAGTAGCGCTCTCCACTAATCGCAAAGTCCCTCCGTGAACCCAAAAAGACCATTTCCGGGGCTGCTATATATTCTCCCATCACCGCAAAGGCAACTCGGATACCACAGATACATAACTCACCCAATTTGAAGCAAGACAACACTACCGCCTCGAATTCGCAGTGGGTGGCGGTGTGTGTAACAGCGGGATCAACGAAATGGGCAACAACATACTGAGCTCCTTTTCAGAGGCGAGCCAATTATATGAAATAAATGCTACCTGATGAAAGAGATAGCGACTAGAACACTGGGGACATCCATCGCCGTAGCTCAAAAGATGTTTTACAGTGGTGCCTGCCCATAACAATGAAGACCTTTACGCCATTTATTTCAGCGTTCAAAGATGTTTGCTTGACAATGGTTTTACAGAGGCCATGAAAACGCCTTTATGCATTGAATACAGATGGAATTGAGAGTGTCGTGAAGCATACTAATGTTTTGCCACTAAAAATGCTCGAAATTTGCCTTTAATGACATTTGCGTCTGGAGTCAAACGGTCCGGATGAATCCGATAAGCTCTCGCACAGATTGCAAAATTTAAAACGGCATCAATGCAACCTCACACCCATTCATTGTTAGGAAAATCCTAAGCTTGAGGCAAAAGGAAGAGTCGATAAGCCTGTAGAAAATGAATATGGATAGATTTAGTTGTAAAAGGAAACAGCACTTGAGGCATAAGCAAAAAATGACGGGGTTTAAGGTCAACGACTTGTATGAAACGCTGCGAGGATTTCCACATTTCCAAACACTTCCAACCACTTTACCATAAAAGGAAGCCTCAATTTTGTGGGACATTTAAGAAGAATCACCAATCGGAGGTCGAAAAGGACCAACAAAGAGGGGAAGAGTAGCGAATTTAGGTGGAAGAAACCTTTCAGGGAGAATTACAAACTTTCATTGGGTTACAATGGCTAGGAGCATGCAATGCACACAAGGACAGCCTGGTAAGTAGCCCAAAAATTATGCATACCTTGGTAGAGCATGATATTATTTTGAAAAACCAGGAGGTAAACATATATTTGTTCAAAACATTCCATAAGCACTCGACCGCGAACGATTCAACTCTATTGTTGCAGAAAATGGAAGTTCCCCTTCTCTGCTCTTGTGCTCTCAATACAAAGACGACAATTTATCTGATTACAAATCCAAATATAGGCGACAACAATTCCCTCCAATTGGTTTAACGGATGAGGCAGGAAGCAAAAAGGAAGATGAAAACTGTAGATCATTCTTTAAACCAGTTCTTCACGTTCCACTTAGACCCAGCATGATGGACACGAAAACTAGAGGAGGGAAATCAGTCCTTCCTTGGAAGGTGCAAGGCAGTATCAGACAAAAACGGTAAAAGCTAAATCCATTTCTATTATTATATGGTGGATAAACAGAGGGCGATCGCGCCGCTAAACTAAACTAAATACAAAAATACAAGCTTGGTTCTGTCTTAAACGGCAGTGAAAGACGTCCAAACACACACCATCACGCGGAAATCAATAATCTACATGGCATTAAAACCCTGAGCCCTTCCAAACGCAAGTGATATCGACAAACTGCAAGATGGCGTTCCTCTCCTGTTCAATTGTTGCTGTCAACGTGCACTGCTGCCTTCTATACAACTGCTTTAGCGAGCCCATTGCATTCACATATCACATTGAAGCGACCAGTTTCTAAGAAACCTATAAGCTGGCTAAACTTTTTATTACATGATGTAGTACCCACGAGTTCAAAGATTGTTTCCTTCACGAGAATCACATATGTAAATGACGATATTATGAGAACTGGTACTGCCAGACTCAAATGGCAACTGTTAAGACTTTCGTATCCCAAAAAGTCTATTGAAACCGGAACTTCAGAAATATTAAAGAAAAGGTTTGGGGAGAGAAGAGCCAAGGAGCCAAATATCTGAGTGATAGACGAAGGCAGAATGTTATTTTTCGTGCATTGAACAGCATAACCTTACACTCATCACAGGCACAAGAACCAGAAGTGTAAAGACTAATGCCACAAAGGAAAGCGCTTTAAACCTAGGGAATAAAATGTTACGATGGAAGAGCGAAGTCTACCAACATTTCAATCCTTGGACATCCAACAAGTGTAGAACGAACTTTGAGAATGATTTATAAGAAATGCAAATGAAGCTTGACAGTTGCAGGAAGTGAAGTAATCGGTAAATTAAGTAGAGTATGCAGAATCCGGCAGTCAATCTGAATTTTTCCGGCAATCAGTGGAAATTATCAATGGCGCAATCAAGTTGAATAGATAAACACAACATTAGACATGGTTTTTGTCATAGAACTTTCCAAACAAAATTTCATGCGAATCGAATCCAAAATCACGAAGACGAGAATGTTTCAACGTAAATGGATGCAGGGGAGGGAGAAGTATTAACGCCAAAGGCGGTTTATTACAAGGGTCAAGTCCTAAGATGGCCATTTATAGGGAGACACCGTTTTATGGCGATTACTTTCGACTGACAAGAGAATGAACTAGGCACAACTTCAGAATCAAGTGAAATTGAAGACACCTTACAAAGATCAAAAGAAAATCAAAGCTTTAAAATTGACTTCGAAACCCACTTCGGACCAATTAGGCAAATGGCTTTTACGTGCCGGCAGAGGCGTAGAGCTAATGATGTGCCTTTGCCGAAGAAGGTAAAATATCAAGCCGTAAATTAACATAAGCACAAAATTTCATGGACTGCAAAAATTAAGCTATATTTTTGTTCCCTTCAGCATAGTTCAGATAATTTAACCCTCACACTGAAATTAAAATAATGGCAGAATACGGGAATGATCTAAGGAATGGCAACGTTATTTAGAAACCCAAGTGACTGCGACAAGGACGCATTCTAAACGAGATCAAAAGAATGCCATCACAGCCGCCATCACCACTGAAGTCACCATCAAAAGTGTCCGCTAGCTGTGAATGCAGGAGAGGAAGTAGGAAGCAATAATTGGAGTTATGAGCAGGTGTCAGACGCAGCTGATTAATTGAAGAATCGGCGTGAAATGTCAGACAGGGTATGAGGCAAACCTATACAATAGTATTCGTCTGAATTCTTCAGCAACCGCCGCCAATTCATGCAGTTATTATGGTTAAAAAAAAACAATTAGATGATGCGACACTCACGCTTGGATCAAAGTAGAGCTGCTTGTGGTGGAAAACATTCTGATGAAGAGAACGCTTTGCTACTCTCCGATGTCTAAAGTAGTATATTCCTGGCATGATCTAAAAGTAACGTCCATATGGGAATCAGGAAAGTTCTTATGCGAGGAAAAAATGCGTTCCCAGGAAGAAGAATAATAAACAGTAAGCGATGAGGTTATGAATCATAATATGCAAGCGAACTACAAAAATAATTGGGCAAGCTCAATGAATCTCAAGAAGTCGGAAAAGCACAATTTGCACATGTAATACAAGGCGTAAAGTTATTTAAATAAAAAGCGTTTCGTTACAGGACACGAAATGACCTGCACTTGTATTACGCATTGCAAGGCACCCAATTAAAGGTAGACTTATGGGAAAAAAAACGCAAAAAGGTGTAAGTGATATGTATCCAGAACATAAAGGGTAGAACGGACAACCATAAGCAATACGATGACGCAACAACGAATTCAATGGTGAACATAGCTCACCTCGCCAAGATAGGTGAAACCGTACTTAGTCGCCAAACTCCTAGCAACACCTTCTCCTCCATAGATTTGAGCTGCCCAAAAGGGCGTAAAACGCTTATCAGTCTTATGTGGTGGTGTTGACCGACCCTTCATAAATTCATTCAAAGAACGCTGATATTCCTTCGAGACATCAAGTGGAGATAAAATTCCAGATGCTCCCGGAGGCATCAATAGTGCCAGTAAGATTATTATCCCAAGCCGTAGTATTTTTAAGTAAAAAGATAATTTTCCGGGTCTTTTGGGTTCGCAGAAATCGTAGAAAATATAGGAGGGCATATAGAGACCAAATTGTGTTAAATACAACAGTCAATATTGTACCATTACAGCAACAATAAGGAAAGCTTTGATGAATCTGGGTAAAATCAACAAATCCAGTGTAAACTAATACATCTAAATAATTTGTAGTTCCATAAAATTCAAACTAAGTGCCGCTATCTATGCAGAGAGACCAGAGAAGCCTAGTAGCCAACATTTAAATAGATGAACTGATTATACTGCATTTTCGTTGATGCATTAAAACGAGCATGGATGTAGGTGTAAATTTTATAGTGTTATGTTCAAAAAAACAAACAAATTAGGATTACAGGCATAAAATAACTAACATTACATTCTATTTTGATTGTAATAAATGACAAATTAGACAAATGTAATTATTATTAATATTTTATGCTCCTATTATAAGTTGAAGCAAACATTGCATGTATTTGTCCGTAAAAGTGTGCACTTGTTAATTTTATTATTCCAGATTTGGGTATTTTATGCAGCGTTTTGGACTTCTTAAGACACAAAGGGATGGATTGGACCTGACCATAATGACACATAACAAGCAAAAGTAAAGGGTATTACTGTAATGCTTTGTCTATGTTGTAGGAACTGTCTGCCTACCCTCATGCCCCTGAAGCACGGACTTCAAGGGAGGGTGAGCTGCAATCGATTTATAAGGCCTTGGATTCAGGAAGAATGGCGATAAGAGTACAGATGAGTCGTCTTGCCGATCTCACCCACAGAGGGTATCCTCACGAACCTCGCGCAGGGGATTCGCGTTCCCAATTGGTTCCCGCCTCTATTCTATAAAAGTCCGCTTAAACACTCTAGTATGCATTACACATCTCCCTTCTCTTTCAAGCACCGTCCACGGGAGCAGCCGTGTATGGCCTAATCTTGTTATTATGTTCTGTTAGAGTCCGGGTAGCGATCTTCGCATTCCTAATGAGATAATTCGTGGGCGTCAGTGTAGCGTCCCGAGGCTTCAAATGGCATAAGTGGGGTTGAATACCTGTATTCCGAAAGCAATAGGAGAAATGGGGCCTGAGCGTGGCCTGAAGGCTAGCCCACATGTACAGGGCCCAGACAAGTCCTAAAGTGACCGCCAAACGTCAGATAGTCGCATAAACAAGCATTACACTGCCCCTCTCTTCTTTTGAGCGACGTC